GAATTTCAGAATACAAATAATAACTAGCATGACACCCAAATAAACTTCACATGACATTATTAATTCATGCCATACACAGTGGTGGTACTGTGCTCAGCTGTCGCGACCAATATGCTGATTTTTGGAGTTCAAAATGACACGCGACTGATCTGTAACTCCCATTTTAAGGCTCTGGTCACGTTCAGGTTTTTAACTTTGCATGGAGGTCACAGGCAGAGGTGATGGGACATTGGAGCCGAACAGAACTTTTCCATTGGGACTCAGGACTTAATACAAGCTGTGTTTGTGTAATGTATTATCTTTTACGCAATAGTTGTGCATTGTGTAATACTTGTTTGTATCCTGGTTTATGACTTCAGTTACTGTAGGATTTAATAATGCATCATGTTTTGTAGTGAATTATGAATAACAGGGTTTTCCTTTTCATTGAAGTGACATCTAACAATTAGATCAGTATAAAGGGAACTTGATGTTGTGAGATTTCATAACACTTTTAAGCAACTTTTGTTAAAGTTAAACTCGCATCCTCCACCACCTGAAGAAGATGTGCCAAGTCTGGGATCGCGTCTTAAATTCAGACAGAAGACATGTTTTATTGTCGATGGTAGAGACAGCACGAACAAAACACATGATCACAGATACAAGAGAATGCAAGTGTATTATACAGAGCGGAGGCATGGAGACCTCCAATCAGCAGCTGCCACGGTGCCATGTAGCTTGGCCTTCAGATAGACAAAACAAGGGAAAAGTACTGGCTTCTGCACATTGATAGAATGATGAGTTTAACTTTAACAAAAGTTGCTTCAAAGTCAGAATCAGAATCAGAATCAGAATCATTTTTATTGCCAACGTAAGTAACGGGAGGTCACAGACTTGGAAATTGCTTTGGCTCAGTGCAACAGTCAAAAAGAGATAATAAAAATAAGAATAAAAAACACTTCTAAAGAATAAATTTAAATTTAAAATAGAGTTACAGTTACTATTTACAATATACAAGTGCACATGGTGCACACAATGTAAGGTGACAGCAGTACAGTGAAGTAAAGTGACGTATGATGGGCAGTAAAGTGACTTTATAAAGGGCGGGGGGACAGGTTAAGAAGTGTTCAAGAGTCCAACAGCAGAGGGGAAGAAACTGTTCTTGTGGCGGGAGGTTCTAGTCCTGATGGACCGCAGCCTCCTGCCTGAGGGGAGTGGTTGGAATAGTCCATGTGCAGGGTGAGAGGGGTCGGCTGTGATACGACCAGCCCGGCCTCGAGCTCGGGCGACGTACAGGTCCTGCAGCGATGGAAGGCTGCGGCCGATCACTTCCTCTGCAGAGCGCACAATGCGCTGTAGTCTCTGTTTGTCCCTGACTGTGGCTCCAGCGAACCACACGGTGATGGAGGAGGTGAGGATGGACTCGATGATGGCCGTGTAGAACTGCACCAACATCTGTGCAGGCAGCTTGGCTTTCCTGAGCTGCCGCAGGAAGTACATCCTCTGCTGGGCCTTCTTGATGAGGGAGCTGATGGTCGGCTCCCACTTGAGGTCCTGGGTGATGGTGGTGCCCAGGAAACGGAAGGACTCCACAGAGGTGATGGGGGAGTCCATCACGGAGGGTGGGGGCGGGGGGACAGTGCTCTTCCTGAAGTCCACAATCATCTCCACTGTCTTCTGGGCGTTCAGCTCCAGGTTGTTACCACTGCACCAGGACACCAGCCGGTCCACCTCCCTCCTGTAGGCGGACTCATCGTTGTTGGAGATGAGTCCAATGAGGGTGGTGTCGTCCGCGAACTTGATCAGCTTCACGGAGTCGTGGCTGGAGGTGCAGTGGTTGGTGTACAGGGAGAAGAGCAGGGGAGAAAGAACACAGCCCTGTGGGGCTCCTGTATTTATAATCCGAGAGTCCGAGACATTCTTCCCCAGACGCACTCGCTGCTTCCTGTCCGTCAGGAAGTCAGTGATCCACCTGCAGGTGGAATCGGGCACGTTGAGCTGGGAGAGCTTGTCCTGGAGCAGGGATGGCAGGATTGTGTTGAAGGCAGAGCTGAAGTCCACGAACAGGACCCTGGCGTAGGTCCCCGGGGAGTCCAGGTGCTGTAGGATGTGGTGGAGGGCCAGGTTAATGGCGTCGTCTACAGATCTGTTGGCTCTGTAGGCGAACTGCAGGGGGTCCAGGAGGGGGGAGGTGAGGGACTTGAGATGGGAGAGAACCAGGCGTTCAAATGACTTCATGACGACAGACGTAAGTGCTACAGGTCTGTAGTCATTGAGTCCTGTGATCCTGGGCTTCTTCGGGACGGGGACAATGATGGAGGATTTGAAGCAGGCCGGGACATGGCAGGACTGCAGAGAGGAGTTGAAAATGGCCGTGAACACAGGAGTAAGCTCACTGGCGCAGTGTCTCAGAGTGGCCGGAGACACGTGGTCCGGGCCAGGAGCTTTGCGGGGGTGCAGCCTCAGGAAGAGTTGTTTAATCTCTTTAGCGGCTATTGTTAGGCTGGGGGCAGGGCTGATGGGTGGGTCGTTAGAGTAGTGGGGGGTGGGGGAGGGAGAGGTGTCAGGGGCAGCATCAAAGCGACTGAAAAATAAGTTCAGATCGTCAGCTAGCTTGTGGTCATCAGCACAGGGGGGGGCTTTGGGTTTGTAGTTGGTGATCTCCCGTAGGCCCCTCCAGACAGAAGCAGTATCGTTGTTACCAAACTGCTCCTGTAGTCGTTCTCTGTGCCGGGACTTGGCTGCTTTCAGTTCTTTCCTGAACTGATATTTAGCTGCTTTGTAGCCGCTGCGGTCCCCCTCCCTGAAAGCAGACTCCTTTGCTTTCCTGAGCTGCCGGAGTTTAGCAGTGAACCAGGGTTTGTCGTTGTTATAGATGACCCTGGTCCTTGTTGGAATGATGCTATCCTCACAGAAGTGGATGTATGACGTCACAGTGTCCGTATATTCATCCAAGCTGTCTGTGGCAGCTCTGAAAAGGTCCCAGTCTGTAGATTCCATGCATGCGCGCAGCTCTTCCACAGCTTCATCAGACCACACTTTGGAGCTCCTCACTGCAGGTTTCGAGAGCTTTAGTCTCTGTCTGTAAGCAGGAACCAGATGTATCATGGAGTGATCTGAGAAGCCGAGGGCTGGCTTGGGAACAGCGCGAAAAGCTCCGCGCACGGTGGTGTAACAGTGATCCAGAGTGTTCTCCTCTCTGGTCGGGCATTTGATAAACTGTCTGTATTTGGGTAATTCCTGGCTCAAGTTTCCCTTATTAAAATCCCCCAGGATAATAATCAGAGAGTCCGGGTATAAGCGTTCCATACACAGTACTTGCTCTGCGAGTGCGCGCTGAGCCTCGCGCGCGTCCGCGCATGGCGGTATGTAAACAGAGGCAAGAATGAATGAAACAATTTCCCGCGGGGAGTAATATGGTTTACAATGAATGAAAAGATATTCCAGAGCAGGAGAGCAGTGCTTGGAGATCACTGTCACATCGTTACACCAGTTTGTATTGACGTAGAAACAGAGCCCTCCGCCTCTGCTCTTCCCTGAGAGCGCACAATGGCGATCCGCGCGAAACAGCCCAAAGCCCTGCAGCTCCAGAGCGCAGTCCGGGATCCGCTCATTTAGCCAGGTCTCAGTGAAGCAGAGGACACAGGATGTGGCGAAGTCCTTGTTTCTTCTCATGAGCAGGCTGAGTTCGTCCATCTTATTGCCCAGTGAGCGTACGTTGGAGAGAAAAATGCCGGGGAGAGCCGTGCGCGCTCCTCTCCTCCTAAGACGCACGAGCAGGCCTCCGCGCTTTCCCCTTTTACGGGCCCACACTTTTTTGGCTAGAACATGAACTAAATCAGCCGCAGATGCCAAGAAAACAGGCAATAGGTCCATGGGAACGGTGGGTCGGATGTTCATAAGTTCCTCACGGGTGTAGGAACAGCCAGATGCACAGTTAAAAAGTAAAAACAAAAGAAAAAGAGAGCAGCAAAGAGCCATGTCGACCGTACGAGGCGCCATCTTTGTTATTCTTAAGTATTTAAGTATAATTTATTTATATAGTATATTTATTTAAATTCCGGTGTCCATAATGTGCTCCCACCACAGAGGCCCATTGGTCCTCCTTATCTTGCACAATGGTTCTATTTCTGCAGGACCAAAGGAAGACATGAGGGTTCAGATCTAATATTTAATATTTAATATTAAAGGGCAGCTGTCAGACATAATTTGAAGACGACGACCAATTGGGGTGCTCTGATAAGAACGAGTTTATTAATGGAATGATGGAATTCTAAAGGCAAGGCAAGGCAAGGCAAGTTTATTTATATAGCACAATTCATACACAAGGCAATTCAAAGTGCTGAACAAAACAAGAAAGCATTAAAATCATAAATAATCACAGAACATTAAAAAGAAAGATAAAAATATAAAATCCCTCAGTTGTATGCACAGTTAAACAGAACTGTCTTTAACCTGGTTTTAAACATTGTCAGAGAGGAGGCCTGTCTCACGTCTTCAGGAAGACTGTTCCAGATTTTAGCAGCATGAATCTGAAAAGCAGCCTCCCATGTTTAGTTCTGACTCTGGGCACTAACAGGAGTCCAGTCCCTGTTCTCCTCAGAGTCCGGGCTGGTTCATATGGGACTAACATGTCACTAATATATTTTGGTGCGAGGCTATGGAGAGATTTGTACACAAGCAGAGCTGTTTTAAAGTCTATTCTCTGAGCCACAGGAAGCCAGTGCAGAGACCTGAGAACTGGACTAATGTGGTCGTACTTCCTGGTTCTAGTCAGGACTCGAGCTGCTGCATTTTGAATGTACTGCAGCTGTTTTAAAGGAAAGAAAGTTTAGACAAGAAAAAAGAAAAATAGGCTTAAATTCCAACCTTTTATAAGAGCACCTGGTTCCCTGTCAGCTGAGGGTGAGCCATTTTGAACATGTCCTGTGTAGACCATGAGAATTTAGGCTGGAGTGCAGCAGGTGGCCTTTGAACACACACTGGAGACCATCTTAAGCTTGTTTAACACCCACGTTTTGTGCATATTTTCAAATAAAGTATTTACAATTGAACCATAAATAATAATACAACTTTAATACTTAAATAAATCTGTAATAATATTATACAATAGATTAAAAAAGAAAAACTTAAACCAGATTAAATTATCTTAAATGTCTGGTGTATCTGAATGTAAAAGTTAATCTGGAGCACTGTATTTGGACATTTAACATGATGACAGACTTTATTCATCCTCGCTGTGTGAAGGAGAGGTTGTTTTCTCACTGCTGCTGTCAGACTGTACAACAAACAATGAGGACTAATGATCACTGCCAACCTGATCTCACATGTCATGCGTCGGTGCAATATCCTTAACTAATATCAGATTTGCAATAACCAGATGTCACTGTGTCCCAGAGCCCCATGCTGCTAAAGTACAGCTGTTAACATACAGATGCTAACACATAACTACATATTGCTTGCACTAGAATACATAATACTTGCCTCTTATTTTCCAAATATAAAATGTTATACTTCTTTATTATGTTAAAGATAGTGATTTTATACTTGCTCTTAGTATAGTTATAATTAAAAGTATAGTATAGCTGGGACAAGCTCTCCAGCTCAACGTGCCGATTCACCTGCAGGTGGATGACTGACTTCTGACAGACAGGAAGCAGCGAGTGCGTCTGGGGAAGAATGTCTCGGACTCTCGGATTATAAATACAGGAGCCCCACAGGGCTGTGTTCTTTCTCCCCTGCTCTTCTCCCTGTACACCAACCACTGCACCTCCAGCCACGACTCCGTGAAGCTGATCAAGTTCGCGGACGACACCACCCTCATTGGACTCATCTCCAACAACGATGAGTCCGCCTACAGGAGGGAGGTGGACCGGCTGGTGTCCTGGTGCAGTGGTAACAACCTGGAGCTGAACGCCCAGAAGACAGTGGAGATGATTGTGGACTTCAGGAAGAGCACTGTCCCCCCGCCCCCACCCTCCGTGATGGACTCCCCCATCACCTCTGTGGAGTCCTTCCGTTTCCTGGGCACCACCATCACCCAGGACCTCAAGTGGGAGCCGACCATCAGCTCCCTCATCAAGAAGGCCCAGCAGAGGATGTACTTCCTGCGGCAGCTCAGGAAAGCCAAGCTGCCTGCACAGATGTTGGTGCAGTTCTACACGGCCATCATCGAGTCCATCCTCACCTCCTCCATCACCGTGTGGTTCGCTGGAGCCACAGTCAGGGACAAACAGAGACTACAGCGCATTGTGCGCTCTGCAGAGGAAGTGATCGGCCGCAGCCTTCCATCGCTGCAGGACCTGTACGTCGCCCGAGCTCGAGGCCGGGCTGGTCGTATCACAGCCGACCCCTCTCACCCCGCACATGGACTATTCACCCTCTCAGGAGGAGATGCGGCATCAGGACCCAACTCGCACCACTAGAACAGTTTCTTCCCCCGAAACAACCGTCCTTAACTGCCATAATCCGACACTTTCTATTCCCATACTATGTGCCCATACCTAGAGTGCCCCAGTCATTGTCTAAAGACAACGTACCCAGTCCACCACCTAATATTACCATATAACATGTATTCCTTAGAAGAGTTATTAAATCATTTCTTTTATCATAATCTCTTTTGACAGTAGCAGAGCCCACCGAATATAGTCAGTGACTATCAGTTATAGAGTCAATAAACAAGCTTAGATCAATTTTGTTGGTGGACAATATCAAGGCTTAGTGATCACAACTTCCTGGCTGCCTGAAGTGGGATGACATAAACGGATTACTATACATCCTCACAATCCTAGCTTAATTATCCTTGCCATAACGGGCCTAATCAAGAACACCACCAGGAACAAAAAACTTGTCATGCCCGTGCGGTTACCATTTCTTCACGAAACGTCAGATAAGATACCTTACGACCAAAAAAATAGGGCAATCACACCCGAGAGCTCCTATCGCCCCCGACGCCACCTGGTGAAAACCTAACCCATACCTTCACCCAGCACACCAACTCACATGGTGTAACCACCTGACGGTTATAAACCACTGGGGTTTTATTAAGTTTTTTGATTGGACCACATAGGTAATGTATACCTGCTTAAGGACCCACCCTCATTAAGCCCTCCACCTAAGGGTGCACATTGTTTGGAATACATCTTCATTACAGCGCATGATATATATTCACGCTTTACTCTATTTCCAGCTCATCTGGGTCCGAGCCTCAGTTTATTCACTTACAGTTTTAGGGGTACACAGCCAGTCTCGCCCCTGAATAAAAGAGTATGTTTTCGAACTGTTATGTTGGTCGTTTCAGAGCATGGCGACTTGTAAATAACTCATTGACCCGTTGTAAGACACGTTCTTTCAGTGAAGTGTTTATCTTCATTCATACTCTTTGCCTGTGACATAGGTCTAAAACGCGACTATACTACCACGTATATGATCCAATCTACCCCGAGCAAGTCAATGAAGATTGACTTGGCCAAGTCTATAACTTTAAAACATAAGCAACCCAATTGAACGCAGTATCTAATGAGATAGGACCCCCTACTACGAGCAAAGTGAAATATCCTTTCCTACACACAACTTATACCGAAAACCAAGCAGAGTACATCCACCGACTAGTTTCAAAGTAGATAATTTCATTTCAGCAGGTCTCACCAGTGCCGCATGTCATATACCGATCGAGTGCTTACCAGACTCGAATTCACCATAAAATGCCTGATTAGCAAATGTCCCTCGCCCCACAGCAACGTCTACACATAACGCATATACATAATGACCCGCCCTGCTCCCAAAGTGCCCTAAATATAATATTACTACAAACTACCCCCCCTACAGTGGTATGATCAATCTACAAAAAGCCCATGTGTAACAAAAATCTCCTACCTACACACAGAACCGTATTGATCCTTGACATATAAAACATTAAAAAGTAATAGGACCCTATACTGAGTTGACAGATGGGAGTAAGATACAGTCTGAATACCAGGCCACACCCCCCTTACCCCTTATACCGGATGGGATAATCTCCTCTCTAAATCACTCTCGTAGATGATTTGTGCGAGGATATCACTGAGTATGGCAGACATTGATGATAGCCTTGTATCAGGCATCTGTCATCGAATTCCAGTGCCGTAACCGTCTTTAAGTTTCCGCTATTTATACAGTCAACTTTTTTCCAGACCAAGTTTTTTGTTTGTAGGATATTTTTTTACACTGGCTTTTTGTAGATTATCAATACCACAGTATGTTTGTATGATGTAGAAAAGTAATATAACTTGCCCATTGGATCATGGCTGTCAATATTTAATGCTTTTAGTTATAGCTATGCATTTGGCGATGACCAGTTGGCTACCGCATTAACTGTTTAATTCTTTCAGTGAAAGCACACTTGACTTTAAATTGACATCTTGCACTTTTAGAGCCTGCTGAGAATTGAAAAATCAAGCTTAGAAACATTTCTGTGTTAGTTACACTGCTGTAGTTTCGAATGTTTGTTTATTTTAACTTAAATTTTCAGCCTTTTCTCTTCATTTTGTTTCCATAACACAAAATACATCTTTTCAAATTGTGTTTTCTAGTGTTTAAATAAAATACTTTTCAAATTCAGACTTCATTTTACTTTCTCTGGGAATAGGACTAAACTGTTTATTATTATTCTCTTTTTAGTCCTAAGTCAGCATTAACTAGTAGAGAATTAAGAAAACACTTCACTGACAAGAACGTGTCATTACAACGGGTCAAATATTTATTGTTACAAGTGTCTCCAAGCACAGAAACTACCAACAAAACATTTCTAAACAAGACACATTTATCAGTGTCTAGGTGACTGTGCTGATAATCCGCCTAAAAACTGGAATTGAAAAACTTGAGGCGTCTGACCCAGAGTTCTGAAAGGAGAGTAAAGCTGTTGAATATAAAACATTCTCTTAATGAGAGATTTAACCAAACAATTCACCTTAGAGGAGTGCTGAAAGATGTTGGGGTTCCTGTAAGAATGAACATAACGCATTGATGACATGCAAAATAAACTTTAACCCAGTGTGTTTTACCTTCAGTGGTTTAGGCACCATTTATTTTGTGTGCATGGGTTCAGTTATGGGTTAGGTTTTCACCAGGGTGCGTCTGTTGGCGAGATGATCACTCTGGTGTTATGGACCAATTTTTTTGGTCTTATGTGATGCTGAATCAGACTTTTCTTTGAAGAATGGAACCGCACGGCATGACAGAGTTTTTTTTCCTGGTTTGTGTATGCTTTCATTTTCCCCTTTATTTTCCAAGGAAAATAATCAAGAATAGGATTAATTAAGAGATCCTTTATTCATCCCACAACAGGGGCATTCCAGTAGGAATTGAGGAGCACACAGCACAAGATAAGTGAACAATATCAGAATCATTTTTATTGCCACGTAAGTAACAGGAAGTCACAGACTTGGAAATTGCTTTGGCTCAGTGCAACAGTCAGAAAGAGATAATAAAAATAAAGAATAAAAAACACTTCTAAGGAATACATTTAAATTTAAAATAGAGTTACAGTTACTATTTACAATATACAAGTGCACATGGTGCACACAATGTAAGGTGACAGTAGTACAGTGAAGTAAAGTGACGTATGATGGGCAGTAAAGTGACTTTATAATGGGCGGGGGGAAGAAACTGTTCTTGTGGCGGGAGGTTATGGTCCTGATGGGCCGCAGTCTCCTGCCTGAGGGGAGTGGTTGGAATAGTCCATGTGCGGGGTGAGAGGGGTCGGCTGTGATACAACCAGCCCGGCCTCGAGCTCGGGTGACGTACAGGTCCTGCAGCGATGGAAGGCTGCGGCCGATCACTTCCTCTGCAGAGCGCACAATGCGCTGTAGTCTCTGTTTGTCCCTGACTGTGGCTCCAGCGAACCACACGGTGACGGAGGAGGTGAGGATGGACTCGATGATGGCCGTGTAGAACTGCACCAACATCTGTGCAGGCAGCTTGGCTTTCCTGAGCTGCCGCAGGAAGTACATCCTCTGCTGGGCCTTCTTGATGAGGGAGCTGATGGTCGGCTCCCACTTGAGGTCCTGGGTGATGGTGGTGCCCAGGAAACGGAAGGACTCCACAGAGGTGATGGGGGAGTCCATCACGGAGGGTGGGGGCGGGGGGACAGTGCTCTTCCTGAAGTCCACAATCATCTCCACTGTGTACTGGGCGTTCAGCTCCAGGTTGTTACCACTGCACCAGGACACCAGTCGGTCCACCTCCCTCTTGTAGGCGGACTCATCGTTGTTGGAGATGAGTCCAATGAGGGTGGTGTCGTCCGCGAACTTGATCAGCTTCACAGAGTCGTGGCTGGAGGTGCAGTGGTTGGTGTACAGGGAGAAGAGCAGGGGAGAAAGAACACAGCCCTGTGGGGCTCCTGTATTTATAATCCGAGAGTCCAAGACATTCTTCCCCAGACGCACTCGCTGCTTCCTGTCTGTCAGGAAGTCAGTCATCCACCTGCAGGTGGAATCGGGCACGTTGAGCTGGGAGAGCTTGTCCCAGCTATACTATACTTTTAATTATAACTATACTAAGGAGCAAGTATAAAATCACTATCTTTAACATAATAAAGAAGTATAACATTTTATATTTGGAAAATAAGAGGCAAGTATTATGTATTCTAGTGCAAGCAATATGTAGTTATGTGTTAGCATCTGTATGTTAACAGCTGTACTTTAGCAGCATGGGGCTCTGGGACACAGTGACATCTGGTTATTGCAAATTCTGATATTAGTTAAGGATATTGCACCGACGCATGACATGTGAGATCAGGTTGGCAGTGATCATTAGTCCTCATTGTTTGTTGTACAGTCTGACAGCAGCAGTGAGAAAACAACCTCTCCTTCACACAGCGAGGATGAATAAAGTCTGTCATCATGTTAAATGTCCAAATACAGTGCTCCAGATTAACTTTTACATTCAGATACACCAGACATTTAAGATAATTTAATCTGGTTTAAGTTTTTCTTTTTTTAATCTATTGTATAATATTATTACAGATTTATTTAAGTATTAAAGTTGTATTATTATTTATTAGGTTCAATTGTAAATACTTTATTTGAAAATATGCACAAAACGGTGGGGTGTTAAACAAGCTTAAGATGGTCTCCAGTGTGTGTTCAAAGGCCACCTGCTGCACTCCAGCCTAAATTCTCATGGTCTACACAGGACATGTTCAAAATGGCTCACCCTCAGCTGACAGGGAACCAGGTGCTCTTATAAAAGGTTGGAATTTAAGCCTATTTTTCTTTTTTCTTGTCTAAACTTTCTTTCCTTTAAAACAGCTGCAGTACATTCAAAATGCAGCAGCTCGAGTCCTGACTAGAACCAGGAAGTACGACCACATTAGTCCAGTTCTCAGGTCTCTGCACTGGCTTCCTGTGGCTCAGAGAATAGACTTTAAAACAGCTCTGCTTGTGTACAAATCTCTCCATAGCCTCGCACCAAAATATATTAGTGACATGTTAGTCCCATATGAACCAGCCCGGACTCTGAGGAGAACAGGGACTGGACTCCTGTTAGTGCCCAGAGTCAGAACTAAACATGGGGAGGCTGCTTTTCAGATTCATGCTGCTAAAATCTGGAACAGTCTTCCTGAAGACGTGAGACAGGCCTCCTCTCTGACAATGTTTAAAACCAGGTTAAAGACAGTTCTGTTTAACTGTGCATACAACTGAGGGATTTTATATTTTTATCTTTCTTTTTAATGTTCTGTGATAATTTATGATTTTAATGCTTTCTTGTTTTGTTCAGCACTTTGAATTGCCTTGTGTATGAATTGTGCTATATAAATAAACTTGCCTTGCCTTGCCTTGCCTTTAGAATTCCATCAGTTCCATTAATAAACTCGTTCTTATCAGAGCACCCCAATTGGTCGTCGTCTTCAAATTATGTCTGACAGGCTGCCCTTTAATATTAAATATTAAATATTATTAAATATTAGATCTGAACCCTCATGTCTTCCTTTGGTCCTGCAGAAATAGAACCATTGTGCAAGATAAGGAGGACCAATGGGCCTCTGTGGTGGGAGCACATTATGGACACCGGAATTTAAATAAATATACTATATAAATAAATTATACTTAAATACTTAAGAATAACAAAGATGGCGCCTTGTACGGTCCACACGGCTCATTGCTGCTCTCTATTTCTTTTGTTTTTTCTTTTTAACTGTGCATCTGGCTGTTCCTACACCCGTGAGGAACCTATGAACATCCGACCCACCGTTCCCATGGACCTATTGCCTGTTTTCTTGGCATCTGCGGCTGATTTAGTCCATGTTCTAGCCAAAAAAGTGTGGGCCCGTAAAAAGGTTGCGCGGGGGCATGCTCGTGCGTCTGAGGAGAAGAGGAGCCCACACGGCTCTCCCCGGCATTTTTCTCTCCAACGTACGCTCACTGGGCAATAAGATGGACGAACTCAGCCTGCTCATGAGAAGAAACAAGGACTTTGCACATCCTGTGTCCTCTGCTTCACTGACACCTGGCTAAATGAGCGGATCCCGGACTGCGCTCTGGAGCTGCAGGGCTTTGGGCTGTTCCGCGCGGATCGCCATTGTGCGCTCTCAAGGAAGAGCAGAGGCGGTGGACTGTGTTTCTACGTCAATACAAACTGGTGTAACGATGTGACAGTGATCTCCAAGCACTGCTCTCCTGCTCTGGAATATCTTTTCATTCATTGTAAACCATATTACTCCCCTCGTGAATTTGTTTCATTCATTCTTGCCTCTGTTTACATACCGCCATGCACGGACGCGCGCGAGGCTCAGCGCGCACTCGCAGAGCAAGTACTGTGTATGGAACGTTTATACCCGGACTCTATGATTATTATCCTGGGGGATTTTAATAAGGGAAAGTTGAGCCAGGAATTACCCAAATACAGACAGTTTATCAAATGCCCGACCAGAGAGGAGAACACTCTGGATCACTGTAACACCACTGTGCGCGGAGCTTTTCGCGCTGTTCCCAACCCAGCCCTCGGCTTCTCAGATCACTCCATGATACATCTGATTCCTGCTTACAGACAGAGACTAAAGCTCTCGAAACCTGCAGTGAGGAGCTCCAAAGTGTGGTCTGATGAAGCTGTGGAAGAGCTGCGCGCATGCATGGAATCTACGGACTGGGACCTTTTCAGAGCTGCCACAGACAGTTTGGATGAATACACGGACACTGTGACGTCATACATTCGCTTCTGCGAGGATAGCATAATTCCAACAAGGACCAGGGTCATCATAACAACGACAAACCCTGGTTCACTGCTAAACTCCGGCAGCTCAAGAAAGCAAAGGAGTCTGCTTTAAGGGAGATAAATATCAGTTCAGGAAAAAACTAAAAAAAGCCAAGTCCCGGCACAGAGAACGACTACAGGAGCAGTTTGGTAACAACGATACTGCTTCTGTCTGGAGTGGCCTACGGGAGATCACCAACTACAAGCCCAAAGCCCCCCCCCCTGTGCTGACGACCACAAGCGAACTGAACTTATTTTTCAGTCGCTTTGATGCTGCCCCGGACACCTCTCCCTCCCCCACCCCCCACTACTCTAACGACCCACCCATCAGTCCTGCCCCCAGCCTGACAATAGCCTCTAAAGATGTTAAACAACTCTTCTTGAGGCTGCACCCCCGCAAAGCTCCTGGCCCGGACCACGTGTCTCCGGCCACTCTGAGACACTGTGCAGTGAGCTTACTCCTGTGTTCACTGACATTTTCAACACCTCTCTGCAGTCCTGCCATGTCCCGGCCTGCTTCAAATCTTCCATCATTGTCCCCGTCCCAAAGAAGTCCAGGATCACAGGACTCAACAACTACAGACCTGTAGCACTTACGTCTGTCGCCATGAAGTCATTTGAACGCCTGGTCCACTCCCGTCTCAAGTCCTTCACCTCCCCCCTCCTGGACCCCCTGCAGTTCGCCTACAGAGCCAACAGATCTGTAGACGACGCCATTAACCTGGCCCTCCACCACATCCTACAGCACCTGGACTCCCCGGGGACCTACGCCAGGGTCCTGTTCGTGGACTTCAGCTCTGCCTTCAACACAATCCTGCCATCCCTGCACCAGGACAAGCTCTCCCAGCTCAACGTGCCCGATTCCACCTGCAGGTGGATGACTGACTTCCTGACAGACAGGAAGCAGCGAGTGCGTCTGGGGAAGAATGTCTCGGACTCTCGGATTATAAATACAGGAGCCCCACAGGGGTGTGTTCTTTCTCCCCTGCTCTTCTCCCTGTACACCAACCACTGCACCTCCAGCCACGACTCCGTGAAGCTGATCAAGTTCACGGACAACACCACCCTCATTGGACTCATCTCCAACAACGATGAGTCCGCCTACAGGAGGGAGGTGGACCGGCTGGTGTCCTGGTGCAGTGGTAACAACCTGGAGCTGAACGCCCAGAAGACAGTGCAGATGATTGAGGACTTCAGGAAGAGCACTGTCCCCCCGCCCCCACCCTCCGTGATGGACTCCCCCATCACCTCTGTGGAGTCCTTCCGTTTCCTGGGCACCACCATCACCCAGGACCTCAAGTGGGAGCCGACCATCAGCTCCCTCATCAAGAAGGCCCAGCAGAGGATGTACTTCCTGCGGCAGCTCAGGAAAGCCAAGCTGCCTGCACAGATGTTGGTGCAGTTCTACACGGCCATCATCGAGTCCATCCTCACCTCCTCCGTCACCGTGTGGTTCGCTGGAGCCACAGTCAGGGACAAACAGAGACTACAGCGCATTGTGCGCTCTGCAGAGGAAGTGATCGGCCGCAGCCTTCCATCGCTGCAGGACCTGTACGTCGCCCGAGCTTGAGGCCGGGCTGGTTGTATCACAGCCGACCCCTCTCACCCTGCACATGGACTATTCCAACCACTCCCCTCAGGCAGGAGACTGCGGCCCATCAGGACTAGAACCTCCCGCCACAAGAACAGTTTCTTCCCCTCTGCTGTTGGACTCTTGAACACTTCTTAACCTGTCCCCCCGCCCTTTATAAAGTCACTTTACTGCCCAACTCTATTTTAAATTTACATTTAAGTGTTTTTTTATTCTTTATTTGTATTCTTTATTTTTATTATCTCTTTCTGACTGTTGCATTGAGCCAAAGCAATTTACAAGTCTGTGACTTCCTGTTACTTACATGGCAATACAAATTATTCTGATTCTGATACTTCTGTCGCAGAAAGTAATTAATACATTTAAGAACAATTACTGTATAATACTGTGGCCTTGAGATCAAAATACAAAAGATTAGGTAAAAAATAAATTACATGTCTTGACATTCAAACTTACTGTTTCTACTGTATATAGCAGACCAATCCACAATATTAAATTCAAAGTAAACCACGTAAATGAAAATGTCCCTTACTGTGTCCGTGGTCTTGAAGAGAGCTGTGACTGGAGATGGATGTTGTAGATCCAGGAGTCTAGCAAAAACATACAGTAATTGACTAATTAAGTTGGTTTAGGTCTTACCTTGAGGACAGGAAGTACTTTGTGGAGATTGGAAACTGTGTCTCAGATCCTATGGCCCTGACCTGTGGAGTACCACAGGGGTCGATCCTGGGACCTCTTCTGTTCAATCTCTACATGCTGCCGTTAGGTCAGTTAATACGCAGAAACGAAGTTTCCTATCATAACTATGCAGACGACACTCAGATCTATGTCTCACTGACTGCAGGAGAACATGGACCAGTGGACTCACTCCTTCACTGTATTCAACAGATCAGTGAGTGGATGCAAAACAACTTCCTTCAGCTAAACGCAGACAAAACTGAAATGATTGTCTTTGGTCCCCAGAAACAAAGAGAGAGCGTCATCTGTCACCTACAGTCTCTCTCCCTAAAACCTTCAAACAAGGTCAGAAATCTAGGGGTAATACTGGACTCAGACTTAAATTTTAATAGCCACAAATCAAATCAAATCAGTAACATCAGCAGCTTTTTACCATCTAAAAAACATTGCCAGGATCAAAAACCTAGTGTCTAAAGCAGACCTGGAGATTCTTATCCATGCATTTGTCTCCAGTAGGTTAGACTACTGCAATGGCCTGCTCACAGGTCTGTCCAAACAGGCTGTAAAACAGCTGCAGTACATTCAAAATGCAGCAGCTCGAGTCCTGACTAGAACCAGGAAGTACGACCACATTAGTCCAGTTCTCAGGTCTCTGCACTGGCTTCCTGTGGCTCAGAGAATAGACTTTAAAACAGCTCTGCTTGTGTACAAGTCTCTCCATGGCCTCGCACCAAAATATATTAGTGACATGTTAGTCCCATATGAACCAGCCCGGACTCTGAGGAGCACAGGGACTGGACTCCTGTTAGTGCCCAGAGTCAGAACTAAACATGGGGAGGCTGCTTTTCAGATTCATGCTGCTAAAATCTGGAACAGTCTTCCTGAAGATGTGAGACAGGCCTCCTCTCTGACAATGTTTAAAACCAGGTTAAAGACAGTTCTGTTTAACTGTGCATACAACTGAGGGATTTTATATTTTTATCTTTCTTTTTAATGTTTTGTGATTATTTATGATTTTAATGCTTTCTTGTTTTGTTCAGCACTTTGAATTGCCTTGTGTATGAATTGTGCTATATAAATAAACTTGCCTTGCCTTGCCTAATTAGGCCTTTATATAATCATTTGACTAAACCAGTTGTTCTAAAAGTGGCTACCAGGACCTCCAAGAAGGGTGCAAGATGGTTTCCAGAAAAAAGAAATCTTTTCACTTAATTTTAAATAATTTAACACAAAACCACATGCATGTGCTGAGCAATCAAATTATTACTGCTCTAAATGAGATTCAGCACTGGGAATCACAAGTTGATGATTTCACATATATTGCCTTCATACACAAAGCAGCAGGGAGATTATTAAAATGCTTTCTGGTAGATGTAAAAAGTGAAAATGTAGAACTCACTGGAATACTTACACCTCTCTCTCTGGCCCATCCCTGTGATTCAGAACTTATTTGACTGAGAAAGAAAAATCAGAATAAATAAATTAAACAAGTTATTTGATTTGATTGTAAATACTAAGTGTAAATTACCTCATAGTTCTTAACCTGGGAGTCACTGTCAGCAAAAGAAAAGAAACACACATATATATTTATAGAGAGAGAGAGAGAGAGAGAGAGAGAGTGCACATTTATTCAAAACTTGGATTCAGTAGATTTACCAGGGGATGTAACAGCGACAGGAAGAGACATCCTTTGATTACTATAAAAAATAAAACAGTCAATCACAGTTTGACTTTACTAAAAATAAATTTTGGCTCACCCATCTGTTTGAAACTGTCCAGGGGAAACCTTCGATAAGAACACACAAACAAGTCATTTGGTTTCTTTCTCATTTTCCCAAACCCTAATTTACCCTTCTTTGTGAAAGTGGCTTTTTCAATTCTAACGTTTCCTTCTGCAATTCAGAAAGTTGCTTCTTGAGGAGAGAATTTTCTCTTTTGAGGTCAGTGAGTTGTCTAACAATAAAAAGGTGAATTAAACACTTAACTTAAAAGGTGAAACACAACAAATACAGTTAAAACCAGAAGCTTACACACTTTTCTCCTTTGCAGAAATACTTTGTCTCATAGATCAGCTGGATCAATAGATTTTCATAACATGAAATATCAAAAATTAAGAGGATAGTGAACATCCACAAATCTGGTTCATCCATGGAAGCAATTTATAAACAACTGAAGATCCCACGTTCATCTGTTCAAGCAATTGTATGCAAATAAAAAAATGACGTTGGGAATGGCCATCACAGTCAAATCTTGCCCAGTAACATTAGTTGCGTCAGAAGGAGTGGGCCAAACATCCAATTTACTATCACAAGCTTGTGGAAAGCTCCCCAAATTCAAACGATTTGAATGGTTTAAATACAATTATACCAGATATAACCTCAGATATTCTGATTATGCAATGTAATCAAGAACACAAAATAACTAATGATTTCCATCTATAAAATTATGTATTGATCCACCTGAACTAGCACAGAAGGCTTTACTTAGATATACACTGCCGTAATTCAGAAAATGTGAAAAGTATTCTTTTTAAGGTGTATGAGAACTTCTGATTCAACTGTACATTATCTTAACAGATTATACATTTTACCTGTAACAGTGCTCAGTGACTTCCTTTAGACGCATCTCAAGCTCAGCAGATTTGTGTTTGAAGTGTGCTGTTACTCTCTCCATTTGTTTTTTTTGAAAATACGCTATCTACAAAAAAGTGGATTAGAGTCTGTATGTTACATATAATGTAATTTATATAATCAAAAGTGCGTAATTTTAATATCCAGGTCTTGTACAATATTTTGAGGCACTGGTCATAATAAAACCATATTGGTTATAGGCCCTCCTCTATATGTAGCCTCCACTATCACATTTCAGAAGGGTGAACCTAGGCCAGGGGTTTGCAAACATAAACATCACATTTTTAGAAAACCAACCTGGAATATGTTCTCTTGCCGTGATTGGATAAGTTTGACAGGGTCCTTGAAAAATACTTTTTCTTGTGGTTTCATCTAAACAGTTACCACTGTGTTATTAAGTGTAAATTTATATGTATTACAAGAAATCATAGAAAATATACTTCATCTGTAATGGGAAGAAAACTGCACATGGACCTGCACACGCCACACTTCTCTGTGAAGAGACAACACTTACTTCAGAAGGTTTAACGACATCACACAATCGGCTTGTGATATGTTTCTTACGGGAAGTAATGCATTTTTCACAGCAGATGTGACCACAGCTGGAAACGGCATACTTTGACGCTGATCTCGTAAAACACTGGTTGCAGTGAAACCAGTCCATGTTGTGTTTCTATCGCTCTAGTTTCAAGCAGATATTTTGAAAAAGAGTATTTCTCTGTTAGCGGGATGCAATTATGAAAAATACTACGCTTAATGTGAAAATATCTTTAAAATCAAAAGAGACAGTACGTTACCTGTAATATAATGCGATTTAAACTTTGCTCTGTGGTTAATTGACGCCATCTTCTTTGAGCGCCATGTGTGAGCGCGTGACCCGATCTGGCTAGATTATTTTTCGTAGGTGAGTTTAGCCAGTGATCAATCTCAGCCAATCAGAAAGCAACGTTCAACGCACACTGTGGTGAAATGACCCATGAGTGAACTACGCATACTTTCCATGGATTGCACAAAAACTATTCATACTACAATAAATTCGTGTTATATTTTGTTTTGTCTTTTTCAATTGAAAAACAATTGGCCGAAAAATACACGGACCGTCTTGACTCAAGGTTTTCTTTATACCCTATTAAGCATATTTATTGATTTACATCAGAATGTTTTTTCATATGTGCATAATGAACTTATTGCACCTTGTATATATCATGTTGCACGATAACAATAATGCTTCTCTATTATAACACCATTAATTATCATTTAACAAGACACACAATGCTGTTGTTTCAGCACGTCTTTGGCCAAAAACATACGTTGTTCTATAAGGCCTGATGATGCAACAGGCCTTCGTAAAAAGCAAAAGCACAAAAAAGTAACCTTTTAGGCACTAAAGAAAATCCAATAAACAATTGTATAAAAATTACAAAGAAAAACTAAGCATATAGCATGCCAATTCTGAATTGATCTTTACTCACTATATGTAATTTACTTTCTAAACAGTGGTGAATCAACCCAGTTGTATAAGCTAAATATGACTTAGTCATGTGACCCGATGGCGTGCCCAGCAATCACCTTACACATTGTAAATATCATACGTCCATGGTTTACACGGATTGTACTACAGTACAAGCCAGCAGTCACCATAGAACCAATTCATTGCCATAAACAGGTGTGGCATTTGCACCGGCTTTCAAATCTTGGCCATTTGACAATTATGAAAATTAGTGTTCATTCCCTTATTTGAAACTGCCCACACAGCCTCCTGCAGCCTATAATACAAGATCCATGCTGCAGTTAAAACTTCGGTCAGTCAAACGAGGGTCAAAGAATCTACTGCAAGAATGAAGGAACTCAATCTTTTGAAACTACGATGGGTAAACTATTGACAGTACAGATATGTCATCAAAAGCCAATAAACCACCACATAAGATTTGCAAAATACTAAGGCTTCAAGTCTTTACAGTTCTTTATTGCAGGATAGTGGTCAAATTCTATACAATTGTAATTGGTCCAAGCAATGCTTCATGAATCATTTCACCATTTTCTGCAAAATGAAAACAAAGTTAAATCATTGAATATTAAATGCATGCAATTTGAAATACCTAAGCGAGTGCTTCTTGTCCTTCGTGCACTGCAACTTGACTCGCAACATTCACAGAGATTGCTCGACTGAGTGTTGTCCATCAGTTCCCAGCTACAATATTGTAAGAGTCAAGTCACATTACCCACAAATTACACTTCAAACATGGTGCAAAATAGTTACCCATAGCCTTGGACATAATTGCAGGCCTTCTTAGTCTTATCAAGTCCAGCAGGATCCCACGCCACAAGTGTGCAGTGAAGATACACCTGTTCAAATGACCAAGTAAGTATAGTCACAACGCCACACAAGGAATTTTGCTTTACCTGTTCCCCAGTTGAAAACCTGAAGGCTTGAAGTAAAAGGAGAATATCCGAAGACTTCTGCCGTGGCATAAATCTGGAGAGGGACACTTTACTGTCCACAAGACATCTGAAAAGTAAATGTTGGCAGTTCAAATTCTACATGAAGCATTGACAATATTTGAAGACTATCATACCCTTTATTTGCAATTATTGTGTATTTATCACCATCTGGCAATAACTGAGGTGAGGTGGTAGCCACACACTCCTCAATAAACAGCTGTAATGGCTGATGGGACATCTGCTGCACACTTGCCAAAATCGGTATAAAAGAGCCTAAAGAGAAAGAACGAGTCTCCGCTGGTCCAGAGAAATCATCTACAAACAGGACAGGGAAGGTTAAGAGTTTGGAAGAGCTTATTGGTTACCCAGACCTATGCAAAAACACATGAGTCACTTACTGTTCGTTATCCCCATGTGGAAAACAAGTTCTCCTTTACTGTAGGTATTAAAAACGGGATAGTAGATCATAGGGTAGTAGTCCTTTGGCCTAAACAAAAGATAATACATTACAACACATCTTTCAGGAAAGTTCTGTAATCTGTCCATACCTCTGATATACACATGTAACCAGTTGCCTGAAGGGAACAAATTGTGACGATGGTGACGATATATGTGTTAGATTGGTACTGTATAGCATGCGATCTTCAGTTACCTAAGAACATAAACAGTATTGACACATAGAAAGACCCAATTATATATTACATAATACCCACCAATCTCTCAAATTTACAATCATTAAGCTCCACTCGAAAAAAAGCTTGAGTGGCCGTAACTCTAGTGGGAAAACAGTTCCCTAGACGATACATTGAGGTATCAACTTGAGGTCTGGTCTCTGTCCAGACTAGGGAAACAAAATCCTGCTGACAATCCAGTTTCATGTCTTCAAAATAAAAAGAATTTGGTAATATAACATTAGATTAACTGTTCAAAGAGTGTCAAAAATGTACTCCCATTTACCTGCAAAGACTGCCGGCATGCCAAAGGCTAGCAAAAGGACAACCCAAGAAAACGCAGCCATTGTGACTAGTGACAGGTGAGTGGCTCCACTGCTCTTTATACTGCAGCAGACCCTCATCAGCAGCAGCTTCACCTGGTGTTTAATCACACTCATGTGCAATGGTGCTGCACTGATTACTGTATTTAGGATTTTCATTTGAAAACATACTACAGCACTAGTGTTTGCCTTTTCTTATACATTTAATATTAGAAATGTATCAATATCAAATGTTCATAAAGTGACATTATACTAGAACTAATTTGTTTTGATAATGTATTTATTAGTTTTCAGTTTCCACTAGAGCATAAACTACTCTTATTGTGGTAATGTGGCTATTCTGACACATCAGGCATATATCCATAAATCTACTATGGGCATCATGGTGGCTGAGTGGATAGTACTCTCAATTCCCAGCAATAAGGTCCTGAGTTCAAACCCACTTGGAACAGGGCCTTTCTGAGTGTGTTCTCCCCGTGTCTGCATAAGAATATTCCTCGGGGGTGCTCCAGATTCCCTTTATCTGCACATGCACAATAGATTAAATCCTCTTGCACTGGTAGTCCTGACCAAACACCACGATTAAGCAGAAGATAAACTCCCTAAGGGTATAAATAAATTATGTGCATAATTTACATTGTCTTTTCTGTAAATTTGATAATGCTTCAGTCCTTGGACACACATAGACACGACACATTTCTCCATCACTCCTTACACTGCCAAGCTTTGGTAGACTAATAAAAGTGCACCCTTATCCCCTCCGATCACCAACCATTTTATGCTGTTTTGCACACACCAGGCTCATACTTTACAGCCACCCCACTTTGTCACCTGGTGTTCCCAGGTCTTCCATCATAATACTAGCCACTTTGCCCTGCCTAGCCCCATGGTGCCACACAACTTCTAACTTGGCGAATATATGTATATTATTTTTTCATGCAAATAATCTTCCACAGCATCAGATATGTTCAGAAAACTTTGTTTAAAAAATCCCTCCCACACCACGGTACAGGTCTCATAACACTGAAATAGTGCAAAAATAACAGAACTAGCAAAAGAAATTGCAACTATGTTCCACACTTAAAATCAAATAAGACAAATGTTTTATCACATAATGTTAGCATGTTATGCTTCAAGGGTTTTGTAGTCTATTGAAAACTTAAAAGCATTAAATGTGCATGAATGGATGTCAGTTAATCAGTGACGATTTGTTGGACAAATAGGTGACAAGTGATTTTTATTTTTTTCCAAGACATTGAGATCAATTGAAACATTTTGGGTGCTCAGAGTTACAAGCATGTTAAAACTTCTATAAACTCCTTTTATAGAACTTTTGAAGTGGATCCAGTCTTTGTGTCATGGGCGCTTTGATCAACTACAATTAAGGGTCCTAGAACTGAGCCATAAACAAGCCCTCCAGGTTCTGTAACAAAAAAATAAACATTACAAAAGGAAACAAACAAAAAGCATGTTGACTTGTGCAGTCACCAATACCAGCATTTCTCCTGAATCTCTTCTGGCAGGTTAAAGCACAGCAACTACAGACTGAACTTTTCTCCGGCCTGTCCAATAGCTCCCAGCTAAAATAAATTATGCATTACCACTAGATAATGGGAGAATAGGATCAAACCAAATTATACAATATCAATGACCTAATAGAACATTTGAAAATGCTGTTTTGTTGCAGAAGGTCTTGTGCCATTGAATAAAATATAATGGTTGTTAATACGCACATTTTACAGTAAAGATGAATATTTTAACTTTTTGGATAGTTTTTTTTTTTTACAAATCTGAAAATATTCTGAGAGATCACACTAGAGCCACTTTAAAAATAAAAAACATTCACAAGCTTGATACTAATCTAAGTGACATATTGGCTCAGGAGGAAAACGCTTAAAAAGTTGCCATTACCGTTCATTCTTTTTAGAGTAATGGCAGGTCTTCTTTGTCTGATCAAAACTGTCTGGATCCCAAGCAACTAATTTACAATGTATGTACACCTGTGTGAAAACAAAAGGTTAAAGATAATCTATAATTGCAAAATCATTTGTATACCTCTTGTCCAAGTCCAAATCTGAAGGCCTGAAGATACAAGATTATTGATGACGAGTGATATCGGGGAAGGAAGACAGACTTTCCCCTTTGACTTTCCATGAGACATCTAAAAATATACATTTAATGTGTTAAAAATTTAATTTAGTACCATGTCCAGATGTGAGTAAATCAAATCCCACCCTTTATTAGTAATGACAGGGTACACTTCGCTAGCTGGATAAAGCTTGGGGGTTGTTGCTGCAATACATTCCTCCATGAGGAGGAGTAAAGGCTGATGAAGCTGCTGATCCACTGAGGCCCATATTGGCATGAATGTGCCCAGGGGAATTATGTTGCTTTTAGCAATACCCGTTAGTTCAGCTGCAAGTAAAGAAAGACATATACATACACATACGTTTTAAATGTTCACTGTCCAGGTAACTCACCATTTAAAAGTGCCATGTGGAAAACCAGGCCTCCTCGAGCCTCAGAGGACCCTGCTCCAGGATTTAGGAACGGGGGAAACCAACTGTCTGATCTGAAACACAGCAAACAACTATCTCCACCTTCATCCACCTAAGGCCATCCAGCTGCCCAAATATCTTTAAAGCACAATTCCGCTAGTTTAGTAGAGAGAATACTGTAGAACACATGGCCGTTTGCAATCAGACAAAACTGGACATTTTTAGCGAATTCCAAAAGGCCAGCATAATCAGGCCCACAAATAAACTGAAATATTCCAAAAACTAACATAAACAACATGACTAAGCAAAGCTATACCTACCGGTTTGTTGGACACCTGATGGGAAACACAAAGTCTGCAGGCTTTTCCCCTGGCAGTGGTTTGAAGGTGAATTTATTTTCATATACATCGTATTTTCCCTTTATCTTTAAGGGAGAAAAAAAGTGAGCAATTTAATGAGCTCTAAAAAGCAGCTAATCACATCAAAGTTAATATTACCCGTTTTGTAAATCTGCATTCATCATAGGAGTAATCAAAGAGCACTTTCCCTTCTCCTGTTGGCAACACATCTACATATGATGGTTTGCAGCTTCCAAGAAAAATGCGTTCGGCAAACGGCACAAGATCGGCTTGAATTTTCCATGCTATGCTCACAGAGTTGTTTAAGCAGGACACTTGTATATCTGAGAAAAGAGAAAACATCTTTCCATTAAACACAAACAAAAATGGACTTTCTTCACGCGGCAATACCTTCTTGAGAAAAAGTTACAAATAAAACCGAGAAGATAACAACTATATGAAGTACAGTCAGCATGATTGATAGTTCTGCACAAATAACGTCCAAGAAAACTTCCTGTCTCATTAGGCCAATTATCCACATCTGTGTCTTTGTCACAACCAACCAACCAATCTAAAAATGGCCCTGCAAGTCACCATTTGGCTTGAGAGCTGAGCGGCCCTTTCTTTTTCACTTGTCTCCTCTTGGATACAGACTTGCGGTTGTAATTATGGCAAATAAAATGTATATTCCATACATTAATACTGAATAGTTGTTGACTCTAGATATCCTTTACACAGTGGGGAAATGTCAGTGTTGCAGCGCACATACACGATAGTAAGAAAACAAGACAACAAACACAAATATTGCTCACACAAAATACGAATTGTAAAATAAAAGTTCATCACTACCAACGCTGTTTTATTTCCTGCCATTATTATAAAAAAAAAAACAAATACAAAACAAAAGTTATTGACAATGTATGTAATGAAGTGTCAAAATTGTAGGTGTATTTTATTACGTTGCATCTTTTATGGGTTGAAAGGTATTTAATCACAGCTCTAAAGACAATATTAAACATTTAAAACATAGGAACTTAATAATAGGCGGAACTCTTGTTTTACGTATTTTTTTCGGGGTGGAATGTTCTTTGAGCTGCACAGGAAGTGAAGTCAACCGGCCAACATCTACTTTTTCTTCTCTAAACGATAAGGCTTTTTCCGTAATCACTTCATTCAACATGTTAATTAAAGTAAAGGTATGCACTCATTATTTAGCGTTATTTAGTGTTATCACATAAATCAGGTGTGTCATTGTTGATCGTATTCTGAAGCTGCCTCATTTGCTTGCTAACAATGGTCAATCGACAATATTACTAAATATTCTACATTCCCTGGATGATTGTTTTATACTGGTTTGTTTTTTAGTTGTATAAACTTATTTACCATTGTTTTACAAAAGTTCACTTGGGGTCTCGTTGAGCAAAATATTGTGGGCGTTTCAATGATCGTGTTGATTTTGTCTTAGACTCTCACTGGAAAGGAAATTGAGATCGACATAGAACCAACAGATAAGGTTAGTACAAATGTGTGTGATTTATTTCTAATTGAGACCATGAGCTGTTTGGAGTAATTAGGTTTTCCTTGAATTTAGGTGGAACGAATTAAGGAGAGGGTGGAGGAAAAGGAGGGAATCCCACCCCAGCAACAAAGACTCATTTACAGTGGAAAACAGATGTAAGCGTGGTATTGATGTCTGCTTCTGTCACAACTGTGTTTTAATTAATGGTATTCCCGATTTAGGAATGATGAAAAGACGGCAGCGGACTATAAGATCCAAGGTGGCTCAGTGCTTCATCTTGTGTTGGCCTTGAGAGGAGGAGTGTACAGGCCGTGCTTATCCCTCACATCCTGAGTAACTGTCTTCACTGGTCCGGTGATAGATCTTGTGTGTCACGTCATTTTGCAAAAATGAGATGGAAATGATGCACTACTGGTTTGAAATCATTCATTATCACCTCCAGAAACGGACGTAAATTGTTTGTATATGTTTTTTGTAAGCCACAACGGTCATGCAAGAAGGCAACACACCGAGCAAATATGAGTAAACATGCTTGTGAATAAATGCTTGAGCTGGAAAAGTTTGTTGGGCTGCCAAAGGTCGCAAAGCAACACATTAAATCAAAATGGGAAGTTCATCCCATAATCCACACACAACACCCATGATTTAGAAAAACAAAACTGATTATGTAGGTAGGACAGAATTACTTGAGTCCTGTTGAAACTCTGAATAAAATTGAACCATTCTGAACTGATGGCGATGGTTTCTTTACTAAGACACCAGTTATTTGTTTAACGTGAAGTACTTTAACATCAGAGGATTTAAACATTTCTAAAATAGTTGTCTGTAAATTGAAGTAACAAGTTTATTTAGTAAAAATCAGTAGCCATAATTCTAAAGGCACATGCCAATTAAACTAGTCATCACCTATGTATGTTAAAAGGCACAGTCTGTATGCTTTTATCCATTTCATATGTACAAAAATGCATGTTCCCACACACTTGTTAATGCTGATTTATTAATTTTAAAAACAGTGGACATAATCACATGGTTTATTTAAAATTTCTTTCACATTCAACCAAAAGGCAGCATTCAGCTTGCCAGTTCTTTGGTGGAAGTAACTTGGTTCATCGACCTAAACAGTATTTGTGTGAACAGTTTACAGGTTCGGCACTGGCAACGCAAGGTTTCGTTGGATTTGTAGTAAAATATTACACCTATCAGCAAAAACATTGTTCTGTCCGAGAAACCACTTGGTAAATCCCAGCTTCCCCAAGCATTATAATAGTATAATATAATAATTCATCCTATTGATAGAGTGGCCTTTAATACATGCATAAAAAGTATAAAATGCTTGTTCTAAAAATTAATAGTCTTAGTGTTCTAAAGACTATTAACTTAATATCAACAAAGTTAAAAAATTTGACATTTTCAAGTCAAACGAAGAAACAGACAGCTTTTAGAACATTAATGTTGAGCAGGTGTGGAACAGCAGCATCTGTTTTCAATTAAAATCTTTGACATAAAATAGTTTCATTATAGAGTGTGTCCAGTGTGATGTCTGGGGTCCGACTACCTGCATTCAGGTAAAGAGTCAACTTGAACTGTATCCTGAATAGTAACTCCTTCATTTATATAGGACACACGTATCCGCATCTTTAGGTTCACCTGGCGGGGAAAGAAACGGTAAAACTAACCGTATACAGTACATAACAGGTCTGTGCTGAATACATTTTCCTTACCATATTAGGATTGTTGAGTACCACCACTTGTGTGACCTTAGTTGCGCCACCAGCAGGAAGACAGTCACCACTAGGAGCCTTCATGAGTAACTGTACACTCTTAAAACATAAAAAGAGTATAAGGTTTTAAGTGTGAATGGAAAACAGGTTATTTTCAATCTGAGAGACAAACCTTGGGAACTGCTGCCTGAAGAGTGAAATTGGTGAAGCTTGAATCAGTGGAGTTAGAGGCCGTCAGAGTAACAGTGAGGCTTGTTTCTGACAGTTTTTCACAATTTAGTGTCAAAGTTACACCATTCTTCTCATACACTGGTAATGCCGGCACTAGAGGAGACACACAACCTTTAATTCCATCCGTAAAAGTCTGACTAAAATAAATCCATCCATCCATTTTCTACCCTTTAATCCATTTCTGCGTCAGGGGGGTGGCAGTCAGAGATGCCACCCAAGTCTCATAGCACCAGCCCCTCACTGACCCTCTGCAGGTGGTGAGTCCACAGGAGGACGGCTGCTCTGAGTGTGAGCATAGCCTTGATCTTTCAGTGGGGGCTTTGGGCAAAGTGGGGTTAAGTGTCTTGCCCAAGGACACAACGACAGCAGTCATCAGTGAGAGTCGGTGGAGAAGGTGTAGAGGTGGGAAAATAAATGTTAAAGATAATTATTTTAATTATTAATGGTTACCATTTTTTTTAAGGGGGCAAGTATGTATTCAGAGCAAAGCCGAATCCAGGAAGAATGGATTAAATACTATGAGCAATGCTTTAAAGTGCTTTGTTTTTAAAATAATAGAAAAAAAAAGACAAGAAGTTCAGAGGACTCTAAAATAATTTAGCTATAATAATAATGAGGAGCGACAGTAGCTCAGTTAGTAGAGCATTGGCCTTTGAGCCTGAAGGTCATGGGTTCAACCCCACCATGAGACCTTCTCCACCGATTCCCACTGATGACTGCTGTTGTTGTGTCCTTGGGCACTTTGCCTGAAGCCCTCGCTGAAAGATCAAGGCTATGCCATAGAGCGGCTATCCCCCTGGTGACTCACCACCTGCAGGAGGATCAGTGAGGGCTGATCCCCCCCGACCCAGAAATGGATGGATGGATATAATAAAAATAATAATACTGGAAAACAGTCTTAAAGGCACACCGGGGACTTTGTGACCTAAAGAGTTGACACATATGAGTTATTTTATATGAATACTTGGGCCAATATACAGCGCTTGACACTTGCAATGCTCCGAGCGGGGCTGCCCTCTTGAAATACCGCCCATGTAAGTTTTGAGCAGACGGACCGTCTGCCACCAGGTCACGTGACTTGGAAGAAAGACTTGCTTTACGGCTACAGGCGCTGATATACTCATGGAGCTAAGGCTTTTGCTACTCATTTTTCACCTGCTCGACTCCTGGTCATGGCTGAGGCAAGGAAAAATTTTAAACCTTCGGAGGAGGCTAAAAAGAGGAAACGCGAAAGGGATCGTGCTGTAAGCTGCATGTCTGTATGAGCGCTGCTCTTCACCTGGTTCCTGGATGTCATCGACTGCAAAGATGTCATTCCACGCAGCACGAGCTAGACGCAGAACTCCCTCATCCAGGATATAGAAGTCCATGTGTGGTAGATTACTAATGCAGCTGTCTGGAGGCTGACCACAGCAGAGTCTCTCAATATCTGTAGGCATGTCTCTACAGTTTGAACACACACACCAGTGCATGCTGTCTGAATACACACTCAAAAGACACCGGCTGACTGTTTGTTGACTTTTGCGACAGTGCTGAGTTGCTTGTGGCCACTAGGGGCGCTAAACGTGAAAGTTGCAGGTCTAGCGCCCCTAGTGGCCAAGAGTTACACGGTGTGCCTTTAAGGTCGAGTTGCTATCACATAAAAGCCCCAGAATACTGCCATCTAGTGTTTCTTTCATGTATATATAAAGTCTTGACCATGTTTATGGTTTATGATAATCTGTGCTTAAATTCTTTCCGATTCAGTTGTAAAATTCTCTTTGAGTAAATTACACACTACATTTAATATGTGCAAATCATCAAAACAATCACAGTAAAATCTCTACTTTGAACACAGTATTTCTTTAGTTATCTTCTATCATATACACTGAGGCCTAACCTGGAGTTGGTGGAACAGGGTCTAAACCCCCCAGGAGGTCTAGTAGGTCTCCTCCTGAACTATTGGGGGTGTTAGAGGATTGGGTAGGTGGAGGACTTGGCTTCACGGTTTCATTAGGGCCTCCCAACAAATCCAAAAGGTTACAGATCTGAGGAAATACAATATTTACAAGGCGAGTTGTATGCATTATGCTAATATAAAGTACACACTTGACTGGCAGGGGGCTGAGTCGGTGCTTGATCTTGAATGACTTTTACAGACCGAGTTTCTTTGACGAGCTCTCCTGTTGATTCTCCATTTGTTTGACCATTTGAGTTTTTCTCCATAACAGGCATCCGCTCTAGCACGGCTGCCCTGTAAAGAGAGTAAAGTATAAAGAATATATAATCTTGAATAAACTATCAGCAATGATCCAGCTGTTTTCCCTACCTCATGTGGTCATATTTCTTGAACAAAGCATTATATTCAACAGCTCTCTGCTGGAGCTCTAAATCTATACAGCTTCCATAGATACTGACAATACTTCTGATTCGACTGGCAAAAACAAAGCAGAAACATACAATGATATAGGGTGGTCATTGTATAAAATGTAGATGTGAATAGACTTTAAGGATTTGTTCTCACTCTACGTTCTCTGTGATACGTGTACTGAGTTTCATTGTGGCAGTAAGAGCGAAACCCCTTGTGGCAGGAGATGACATGTGGGACTGTAGAACTGTTTCCAGAGCATCCAAGATGTCATTTTCATTTACCTGTTTCAAAAAATCAAGTCAAGGTGGAAAAAAATAATTTTCAGTTTAGCAGTAACATCTACAACAAATGCTAAATAACTAAAATTATACCTGCATTGGCTCAATTTCTTGACAGTCTCCTTTTAGTAAAAGATCTCCATACTCCCCTATGCACCAGCAAGCCACCTGGACCAGGGATTGCTGTTTAAAAATGCACATGCGCACACACACAATGAAATCACGTAAAAACAGAAATAATATTTGGTGTGAATTTATGAACAAAGAGCAACCTGGGAGATGTCCTGAAGCAAAGCCCTGTACAGTTTGTGGACAGTGTAACAGTGCAGTTCAGATGCTGTTGTAATGAGCTGTATTAGGTTAGGGACGGTTTCATCTCTTACATCGCCTCCTGCCTGTCAGAGTGGGTTTGAAGGTTAAAATCTCAACACATTCAAATACTTACACCCAATATCCCCAACACAAAAAAAAAAGGTACAATAGCTCGCTCTGGAGCCAGATTTCCCCTGAAAGTGATCCTGGTTAAATAAAGGTGAATAAACCAGTGAGAAAAGCAATGTTAATGTGAAGCAAGAATTTCATCTATTTGAGGCAGGGGAAAATTTTAGATTCTTATAAGGGCTGTAATTTAAAGTATTAATAAATATGACCAATATACTGCCATCATTGCCAGGACTACTTGATTCTCAATGAAACCTCATAAATAAAAATATAAAATAAGTAAAAAATCTTGAATTTTGTGAAGATGACTGAAAAATCACATTATCATATCATATTAGTGAGCAGGCAAAACATTTATAATATCATATTCAGTGACAGTGCATTTACCGTGGTAAGAACATGCAGGATGGTGTCAATGTGCCACCGCTGAGAAGGTGAATATCTGGCAAACAAGAAACACATTCTATTTGAGTGTCAGGCTTTCAAAGTTGTAAAAGTGCTTTAAAAAATAAAATTTTGACACTGACAAAATTGCATCATACTATTACAAAGTGTGGAATAATGGTATAAATGCCTGTTGTGCTGACATTACTAGGCACATATTGAGGCCCTGTTTATACAAAGACGCTTCAAAGCAATTAGCAAAAACGACCAGCCTCCTGCACAGTGTTTAGATGGCTACGGAAACGAATGTAGTTTGAGCGCCAAGTGCAACTTTACAACAGTATAACCACTTCCTCAACAACATCCTCCTCAGGCCACAGCAAAGACGTGAAAGAATGCACCAACATCATTCTGCATTTCACAGCAGCAGCAAAAATGGAAACTGCTCAAAGCATACGTAGCTAGTTAGTGTACCCACCGCCATTGTTGTTTACTTTTATTCTCGGCTACTGCGCATGTCCGAATGTACGTGCGGAGAAGTGAAGGTCATAACAGGCAGAGAATTGACACCCTTTTCTTCACACAGCGGTGATACAGCCCCCGCTGCGCTGCGCAGCGTATCTGTTCAGTTCCTCTCTTTAGGCTGGTTCTAAATGCTTGCGCTTTCACCCCCCTGTAGCACGGTCTCCATCTAAACTGGAGGCTAAACAGATACCCATTCTAACGTATTGCATCGACTCCATATAAACGGGGCCTCAGAGTGGAGAAGGACAAGGCTAAAGCTGCTTTCACACCCTGGTGTCGGAGACACTCATACACATGCATGGTCTAAGATGGACGAGCATCCATACGACTGTTTCCACGGACTCCAGTGTTAGATTCATGTGATAAACAACTTTAAAACCAGAAAAAATATAACTTAATCCATCCAACTCATACTTTGAGCTCAAAACAGTTCACATGGATTTTTGTCTCGGTCACATCTTTAAATCACCACTATTTTCCAACAGAAAAGGGAAATAGAGAAGCCAACCCTTACTCATCCAACCAGCTCTTAGCCCAAAGTGACAAAAAGTGACTCACAGGGCTCGTTCTTACAAGATTGAAGACAGCATGTTGTGGTCTGACTGTACCCAACGTTTTACTTTCACATGGCTCTTTCTTTTGGATGAACATGTCATTTATTTGAAAAACAATTATGTCTGCTTTATTGCCAACATCACATACATACTTTTAAACCTTACCTTTCAGCTGCTGTGAAAATACCACTTGCAGCATGCGCTCTGAGCTCCAGGGGGCAGGTGGAAAGGAAGTTAAGAAGTTCCTTCATCATTGAGCGAATGTTGGAAGCCGAAACCAAGGCCAAAGACAGCTCCAGTGCACGTCTGCATTGGAAGGGAATTGTTAGTTAAAGTGTGGACATAAATAACATATCAGCCATAAAAACCTTCTACCGTTTGACAGAGGCATCAGGGTCTTTTAAGCAGTCCACTATGGTTCCCCTGTGACGTTGAACTGCTATGTGATCTGTCCCAACAATCTTTTGAAGAGATGTCATTGCTATATACCTAAGCACACAAGCAAATAAATACAAAATATGAATCATATTTGAATTACATTTGTTTCCATGTCAGGAATACCCCCATGCTAATACTACAGACACAACAGTCCTCAATGTACATGAGTTCATTGGAAATAACTTTCAAGGTCTGGCTGGAATAAAACCAGTCGAACAGCCACAGAAACAGAAGCACCTGCAGGTAACCAGACAAGTAAATCCAGTCACACTGCTATGAAGGGGAAATGCAATGCTTTATTTTAGATATATGTAAACGTATGGGTACATGTTTGTGAATGTAAAATGAAACAGAAAATACTACAACTGACCGTATATTTCTGTCATTGTTAAGTAGAAATCGTCCAAGTATATTTACAGCCAGAACCTGAGAATCGCATAATGGGTAAAAATCCTCATTACATTTTTCAACCATACAAGATCATGATCCTATGACTGTATCTCACCCTAAGGCCGCTCTCTGACTTGATATCCAGCACAGTGAGAACTGTCTCATATAAAACCGCATTTCCGGCGGTCTTTGTACTATCCGTATTGGTCGCCACCTACAATAGTTACAATGAATAATCTCCAGAGTAAGTTCTGAATTGATTATTTTGTTTAAATCACCAATTTGAGGCATGCAGTTGATAAGGGATTACCTGAGCTAGTAAATCGTTCATTGCATCACTGGCTACTTCATTATTATGTCCCAAAATTCTCAGCAGTCTCAAGATCCGGACCTGGCAAGGTGGAGGATATATTGGTATTTTAGTAAAAACAGTATATCACAACAATAACATTACAAATTTTAAAGTGAAACTGACCTGTAAAAATGGGTCACTAATTCCTGCCACATCATGTTCTGGGGAATAACCAGAAAGCACTAGCCCCTTCATAATATGGACCAGTTCTGGCACAGACTGATGAAATAGACATATTGTATACAATTTATACATAGGCCAGATGAAATTAAATAACATTATGTTAGCCATTTAGCACCTTTCTGAATCGCTCCAGTGTTTCCGAGCTGCGTTCACACAGTTCTGTGATGAGCACCACAGCTCCATGCAACACTCCTAAACAAAGCATATTGTGCGATTGTATAACTTTGGCTGTTTATAAACAAGTCCTACAAGGACATCTCACCATGATTCTTCTCAGAGAGGAGAGAACGAGCAGCTGGAGCAAAAAGTTCTCCAAGTTCGTTCACTTTTCTTACAATATGAACTGCACAAAGTGCAGCCTGAAATAATAATGGAAATAGGTGAGTGTCTGCTCACAGATAATGAACTTAAATTAGAAACATACCTTTTTCTTTATGTAGGAGTTTGAAGATCTCAGTAATCTTTCAATCTCAGGAGCAAGATCTCTACACATCTCAGCTGAGCCCATACAGGCCAGAGTGCACAAGGCGAGAGACTGTACAAACTGGCTACTGTGGGAAAGATCACTGCCACAAGCACACAAGGATCACTAGTATGGCAACAAATTGATAAAATAGGGTAGGTATCATAAACGACAGTACAGACTTCATTAAACATATTACCTAAATACTAAGGTACAATAGTATAATACTGTAAGCATATTATGCAATATTCTTATCTTACTTTTTAATAGAGTTGGTAATGAGAAGGCTGGCATCTTGCTTTTCATCTAGTAACATCATAGCTCCCAGATATCCCACACGCTTCTCACTGTAGCGAGGACTAGCAATCATTCGAACACATTCCATCTAAAGACAAAGGTTTTTCAGCATTTTGACATCAATGTAGTCCCTAAGGACATATTAGTCATTTATCCCAACAGGATTTTGACTCTGACCAGGGAGGCCAAGTTTCCTCATGTGAACACATTAACTATGAGTATGAGTATGTAATACAAAATTATATTAAATCAAATATAATAGGTTGGGCAGTTGATAGCTATGCAATGTTCTATTGTTTTATAACAATATCTTACAAAATTCAGTTTAGGCCAATGATTTTAGGTTTTTTTAAGGTAATTGTCCACCCGCTTCCCTGCCTTGAAGGAAACACATGACATGCATTAGCTAAATCCTCTCACCTGACCAAAGTGAGCCGGGTAACCCAGCATGTGCACATAGAGGAGTTTGGCCAGATTGTGTGATCGCCCCTCATTGTCAGCTTGTCTAAACTGCGCCCGGATAGCTGCACACTCCCTCTGGATGACCCCTCGCTCCTCACACTGTGTCCTGGCCGACCGTATGGCCCGAATCATCTCCTGCAGGGGCACTGATGGAGACATCCTGCAATCAGGATAACAATGAATCAGGTATGGGAGAAATATGTATAAAATTAATATCGCTTTGCCGGCCTTGGGGAAAGGGCTCAGTCACAAAGGAGGAGCTCAGAGTAGAGTCCCTGCTCCTCCTAATTGAGAAGAGTCAAGTGGCAATAGATAGAGAAGAAAATATATGGATACTGTCAATGTCTGCAAGTTATATAATCAATTTCCTAACTACATGAAGTTCAGGGAGTAAACTTCAGTGAACTTCAGACTAGCCCTATGATTATTTAGTGATTAACTAATTAACTTATAATTTACAAACAAACATACTGATGAATAAAAAGATGGCTTTAAAAGTTTCAAAGCGTTTGTGTTGGTTACACACACGCACACATCCATACACATCTATAGCTTTAGAGCAGCTAGCCTCCAGACTGCACTGTGCTAACCTCGTAGATGCTGTCAAGCAAGCTGTGGAGGAGAACGGCCTGTTTAGGCGAAGCACTGACAAACTAAACCACATAGTTCTTTGTAAATGTAATCTGTAAATAATGACATACCTCACAGTCGTGTAAACTTAAGTTTGTGTGGAAAAGTGAGCCAGTTTTCCCCGTCTACAATTAGATACTCGGCAGCTCACTGCTGGCTGTACGAATCTGGGTCAAAGTAAACAACATGAGCGCGCTACTTCCGGATACACTTTCAAAGTAAAGCGATAAGATAAGTGATTTTCATAACTAGATTTCAGTATCTCACAAAGAGGTCATCTTTAAGTATGTGGCAAATGTAAACAGGAAGTTTGCTTATCTATGATATAGCGTTAGTACTTGCAACGGGAAAGACTTGAGTGTCAGTATACTAATAAAACCCTTTTGTCTATGGAATAACCGTGTCCAAAATTACAATTGGTTCAATATTACGAAACCTGTCAACAATTCCTATTTTATTTTTTATTTCGTTTGAAGATTGACAACAGTTCTTTCACATTACTTCATAAAAGTACACATTTTCGGAACACTTCCGCAATATGATCCAGTAGCTGAAGACTCCACCTCTTAATGCTAATCCTTTCCACTAGGACCAGGTGAATGAAACATTTATCACCGTATGCAGCACTAGCAGCAACATCTTTCACAGCTTGCCTTACCCCAATAACAGCCAACATTAGACAAGTTGTATTTGGAATGAAAGGCTTTTGGAGTAATTACCTGCCTTTTTATGGCCTACATCCAAGCTCACAAACAAGGCTGTGTTATGATGAAGAAACTGCAGCTTCCCAAAAGTGTTACCAAGTTGATGTAATTCAGAAGGAAAATCACCTTACATGAAGTAAACATAACCATATTTGTTTATTGATATGATTGACAGAAATGCATACGTCAGACAACACAGAACCAATTTCTCAATCTTAGAACAGGGCTTGATGTATACAGTATAAGGAATGTGTTAAGGCAGGGGTGTTACATTAACGATTTCCTACAGACAATATTGACACAGCGTAAAAAGTGGCATATACAACCTAATGTGATCTGGACAATGGTAGACTCCATTTCCAGAATAAGTACTGAACTTCAAAACAAGACTACTCGTCTCCCTTGTATGAAGCAACCTCAAACTAGTTTCCTAGCACAACATTTAGGTTCCAAATCAAAAGGCTTCCACACTGCAGTTGAATGTGGCTGATGAAATGGAGACAGATCACAGGCCAATAGTATAGGAGCGGCCTGCTGGGTTGTGGATGGCAGAGCAGGAGGGCTCAGTTACAGCCCATTCATACCACACCTTCTTCCCATTATTGCAGCGCCAGAAACGCACAGTGACATCATCACCCGCAGAAACGGAGATTGGTTGCTGCAAAAAAAGTTATGTTAATACTTAGTAGTTCACAGCATCAAACTCTGTGTGTTTATACCTTTAGCGGAAACAAGATGGGAAACCATGAAAACATCCCAGGTGAATGTGTATCTGGTTTTATACCTGAAGGGTGAAATTGTTTAATTACTTGGAAATTCAATTTTTTCATGCAAAATATATCTAATGTGACTCACTAAGTGTGACATCTTTGTACAGAGTTGTCTCGAAGTAGCCAGCAAACCCATGCAGCACAGTGTTACATTTTACAGGAAATCTGAGGCACTGATAACGATTATTATCCATATCTTAAGATAAAAAAAACAAAAAGGCATGGGAATAAATCGAAATACCTTTATACATAACTTAGTTACTTGTTGCTTACTTGTTGTGGGGTGAACGAACGTGAAGCAAGGTTTGGGATCTGCCAGTTGGTGAAAGTTGTGAAGTCGCACAACGTATGGAGTCTCAAAATGGCACTCTGGATGCTTGTCACGTTCTCTACATCCTCGTACCTCATTGTAAAGCTTTGATGAAGACAATGGTGCAAGGAAGGAGGTGTAGGCACCGGGAATGCTAACTCCATCATCTAAAATACATTGTTTTGTCAATGTGTGGGTACATCACACTGTGTCCTTAAAGTTAAGAAATGTAACAATCATAGTTTTGAAGAATTACCTTTGAGGAAATGCTGAGCACCATCCAAACACTCAGGAGAGAGTTCATTGTCGCCAAATGAACCGAGTAACTCACTGACGATGATGTCTGCTTTTTCTGGTGCAGTCCATTCACGCATGTCACATGACACAACTGTCACCTGGTCCCCCCACTCCTCAAAGCGCCAGTTCTCCAACCTGTAATAAAAGGACATTTGTCACAAGTCAACCCCACAGCCACAGAAAAAGAAAAGAAACACGTACGTGACAACAGCATTGGGATTTTTCTCCACAGCATACACCTTCAGTTTCCGGGATGCTTGTTTAGCAGCACGCAGGGAAGCATTGACCAGGGGGCCTCTCCCAGCACCCAATACCATTAACACCCTATTTCAAAGACACAAATACAAGAATGATCAAATAGTTCCCAAAATAAACCAGGTTATTTTCTTAAGTGCACTCACTGAACATTGGTGGCTTTTTGTTCATCTGGAACTCTGTCGAGCAGACATTTGTACACTGCCTGGAATAACACATTGAAAGGATGTTTGCAGACCTTTTTTGCTTCAGGCATTTCATTTTTAAGTATGGAGTTCATAATTTCCCTGTTTGAATTGGCACATACATAGGATTTCCAATTATATCACATTCATGGGATAGAGCAGTCTTGTGTGTCAGTGCGTAAAGAATTAATTTCCTGATTCAGGAAACAGTACGGTTTGTAGAACCAAACACAGGGCTGATTATTGCACAACAAATAGACGAGATGTGATGTGATTTATGAGATGAGACAAATCTGTTATGAGAGAATGTATTTGACAGGTACGTGGATGAAAAGTCCAGAATAGACCAACTAGCTAGCGAATAAAACACATTCACTTGCTTGTTTACATGATAAACAAAAAAATGTGTGTTAGTTGTTACTTATAGAACGACATGTGAACAGGAACGTTATGCTATAGAAATGTCAGGATTGATGCAGGGCCCACAAATCACAAACAATTTTCTTTAAAATGTTGTATTTGATTTCATTCATTCTAAATTTGTTTGTTTTATAATTGTTTAACAAGTAGGGTTTTAGGCAATCATTTTGTGGTTTCAATGTCACAAATTCTCTCATAATATACTTCAAAAACTTGTTAATTGCTTATGCACTGAGGCTAATGTCACCAAACCTTGTGTCGTTCATTTTTGGAGACGCTGCTAGCTATTCATTAGTCTGCTTAGTAGGAAATCTACGAACCTCAATGTGCGTGTATGTATCTACCCTCTGTAAAACCCAATATCTAAAACTAAAACCGTTGTGTCCCAGAACTGTTTGATTTGACATTAAACAACAGGGAATACCTTTTCTTTGATTTCTTAAAGATTATCAATTCGCTGATGTAAATCGCCAACTCTGTTACACTGACAAAAAGATTAAACCAGGGCTGGGTAGCTTACATTAGTAAGTAAGTAAGTAATCTTTATTTATATACCGCCTTTTCACTGCAGATCTGAGTCTCAAAGCGGTTTACAATTGTACATTTTTTGGGCATTTGTCTCTCACTCCACACAGAGATGGGAGCAGGGTCACCAGTACAGGAGGCGCATGCCAGAACTATTGGACATATTTTTAGTGGTAGGGGAAACCGGAGTACCCGGAGGAAACCTACGCAGACACGGGGAGAACATGCAAACTCCACTCAGAAAGGCCCTGGTCCGACCTGGATTCGAACCCAGGACCTTCTTGCTGAGAGGCGAGAGTGCTATCCACTCAGCCACCGTGCCGCATTAAAGTCTGGGTTTTGCCCGAGTGATTTTTTGTTGTTTCACATGCACTACATTGCGTCAACATGAACAGTTAAGACACGCACCACAAGCATAGAGGGAACAGCACATCATACATGCTTTTCCATAGGTAAACGTGGAGCGCTCAAGCCGTTTATCCTCCACAGCCTTTACGCACAGGCTGCAGCAGATGTGCATCAATAGAGAACCTGTTCTCACAGCGTTAAATCACTCATCTGCCTCTGCAAACGTGTTGCGTGAGCATTTCCAACATTTCTGACATTATGCCAAATTACATCAGCATACTAATAAAACATGGTCTTTACATGAATCACATTTTGAATCCAAATTATTACACCCCCACATGTATCTGAGGTAGGTCACGGCTCAATGGAGCTGGAAAAGTAGATCATGGTTTGAAAAGTGCTAGCACCCCTGGATTAATCAGATGAGCAAATCAACAGGTAAAAATCATGCTGGCAAACTGACCTGTTGGTACTGCGAGTATTTAATAGGGTCCTTCTCGAAGACTTCATACGTTTGAGACTCCAGGTTGTCCATAAGTGGCTGAAACAATGACAATAATAAACCATATTTAATGACAATAATTGTAATGATTTTTTTAATGAAGTTTCAATGTTTACAGCATGGTTAGAGGCATACTTGAAGAGGAGACTGCAGGTAATCTTCATAACCCTTGGCAAACATCTCATAGGCATTGGGTGACGGCCGGTTCTGGTTTAAATATTCTAGATACTGCTGGTACGATCTGAAGTCCTTTTCTGTGTGACGGCTGATACCAGTGAACACAAACTGGGCCTCCAACTACACACAACCACACATTTATTCAATGCAATAACATTTTGATTTTAAAATATATTTACCTTAAAAAGGCGGAAAATGATTCTCTGGTGAGCTTTAGATAATACTGGAAATCCCTTCTTATTAGTTTGGAAAATGCTGGTGGGAAGTATTGCTGCCTTGATAGGTTCTCCAAGCCACTTATCAATCACAGCGTCTGAAGGCATATCTGCACCAACTTCAATAGCTGAGTAGAATACATATTATTCACATCATTTGTTTGCACATGAAAATATTCACCAAATATTACTAGTGCTGAGTTCACCTAAAGTAATCCTCTTGTTGTAATCACAAAGAGTTCTAAAGGAGTGCCACCTTTGCACAAAACAAAAACAATTAGGACTCATGCTTTATAATAAATACTTCAGTTGTCAGAAACTGAACATTGAGCAGCCTTTGGCGATTTGGCCTCTAGTGCACTGCAACTGGACTTACCAGCCCCATGTCTTCTCTTCAATGCTCAAGTCATCAGCACAAGAGACTTCTTCATTCTCAACAAGATCCTCTCGCGAATCCTCTGAGCCCATGAGGGGAACGCGGATCCAGAACTAAATGATTGGAGTATTTTATTGTCAATAATAATTATCAAACCACTATTAGATTTAAGGTGACTCACGTTAGATGTGTGGTGGCCAGTGTGGATGTGATTAAGTAACATACGAGCGAGGTTGGCATTATGAGGTCCCCTCAGAGGGAGCATAAAGACGGGCAGACCCAGGTATGCGGCGAAGTTTAACTCCTGGACAAGTGCCTGGAGAGATAATTTCATATCATCAAAAAGGTGAGGGGAATGTTATGACCAAAACCTTAGTGTAAACTTGAGGGGATAAAAGCATACAACTTACGGTCTCTGAGTTCCTGCGCTGTGTCTGCAGTTCGGAGTCCACGTTTATCCATGGTGAAAGCTTTCCCACTATAAGGGTGTTCCAATCTGCTCAAAATTATTCAAAGCATTTTGAGAGTTAAATGATATTCGATTAAAATGTAGCCTTTGTAGACAAATGTTTAATTCGTGCTGAACCAACCTTTTCCACACAGTAACAGGTCTGAGCGGGTCTGCGCACCAGGACGTGATTTAGCGGGCTCAATCTCATATTCTCTTCTGAACCTCGGGTGATAAAGGGGCATGCACAGGAAGTCAAACCTAGAGTGAGGGGGAAAGAACAGATATTATTGCCAACATCAAAAGGGATAACTGGAGTGGTGTTGTGAAATTGTACATTGTTTTTGCAACATTGCAAACAAAAAAATAAAATACACAAGCAATAAACACTGCTGAAGGCTAACATTGTATTGTGCACGTGTTGTCATTTACTGGAGTAGCAGCCGCTAACCAGTCCCCGCTCACGTCTTTCGTTTACAAAACCACTCCTGCAACATAGCTGTAAGATGGAAAGAAGATTCTTACCCGAGTTTGGCAACGGCTGCGAGCGTATCAGCAATCTCCGGCACACAGCTCAAATCTCTCCCGCATGACACTCGGTTCCCTGTGCTACCAGACGCCATGACTGAACCGCACGAGCCAGCGACCGCCGCGTTTGCTCTTAGAGAAACAGGCGCCATGTTGGATCTACACGGACATCAACGCAATAGCTGTCAATGAGGGTTTAGAGCCAAAATGACTTCTTACGGAGAAATTACCACATCTCGTCTGCTATCGCGAGGTTACACACCAGATCGTCGTTAAAGCAGCACTATGTAACTTTTTTTCCCGGAGTTATCGCTGAGTTTCGGGGATGTCAAGAATGCAGCATACAATTCTTGTTGGTGGTTGGTGGTGGCTCTGAGGCCCCCGGGGCTCCGACGCCCGCTTTGCGAAGCAGTATTTAGATGATAACATAAACATCGTGCCCCTCGTGAATAATATGTGTGTTACATAGACTGTAAAGTATGTTATTATGAAAACAAAAAAAATCCCCCAAACAAACAATGCAATAAAATTGTTAACAGAAAACGTTACAGGCATTTTAATGTACATGTTTATCTTCACTATTAAGATATCTCTGTAATTTAATCTTACAGTCCTTTAAATATTGATTGATAAAAATCGTAGGAGTACAGAAGAGTATGATGAATAAAACAATTATTGAAATATATCTATTTTAAATATGGGTTTGTCAGGTTTTTTCCCTCTCAAACACATTTATAATGTGGCTTGCTAAACATTGTATTTGATTGTATCTATGCTCATCTGCTGCATTGAGCATAGCAATCAAAAATAAAGTGTTCACTTTGCAAAAAGGAGCATCCCAGTATCATGTTCACAGCAGATATATGATGTGTTTGCATTTATGAACATTATAAAAGAGTGGAACCCTTTCTGGAGGAAATTTCAGTCATACTGAATGTGGTTTTGGTTTATCATAGGAATGGCTTTGGAAGATGTTTGTAAACTTTCATTGGATAATGCAACTACATTTCAACGGGATTATTTTTCCAACTCAAGAAGCTCATCAGAATATCTACCTATACCTGGGGTTCCATTGACCTTCAGTATACCACACGTATCTTCAATATTTACTTGTCTCTCTGTCCCTCGACCTTTTGCTTTGTCTCATGGGACAACAACCCTGGGATTTGTCTTCCAAGGCGGGGTCATCGCTGCTGCAGATACACGGGCCAGTGCTGGGGGATTGGTCGCTTGTCCAGCTGTGCACAAGATTACTCCTCTTCACTCGCACTTGGTTGCCACCTCTTCGGGCAGTGGAGCTGACTGTATGTTGTGGGAACGAATCTTGACAAGAGAAATTAGGCTGTACCAACTTAGACACCACAGGCAATTGTCAATAAAAGGATCATCCAAGCTCCTTTCATTAATGCTACATCCATTTAAAGGCACTGATTTGTGTGTGGCTCTTACCCTGTGTGGTTGGGATACAGAAATGTGTGACTCAGTGCTTCCAGGCTCAAGGATAGATCCTCTTTCAAATCAAACTGCACCCACTGGCAACGGCCCCAAACTGATGTATGTGTGTAGTGATGGTGCTCGGTTCCAGGGAAATGTCTTCTCTGTTGGCTCTGGATCCCCTTATGCTTATGGAGTTCTAGACAGGGATTTGAAATGGAGTCTGAATGTTTCTGAGGCCGTCTCTTTGGCCAGAGAAGCTGTGTTCAGAGCTACTCACAGGGACGCGTACTCTGGAAACAATGTGGACATTTTTCACATCACAGCTCAAGGCTGGCATCAACTGAAGAGAGAAGATTTGAAGGAGGAATATTACAGAAAAATTGAAGAGACACACATTTAAATGAAAAATATAATTGGGTGTTGGTAAAAATGTAAATGTTCTTGCATTCTTTTATTTCAATTCATAAAGGCTTTTGGGTGTAAAGTTTAGTTTCAACTGCATATCATTTTTTACATGTCAACAAGAGTTTGAAAAGTGGTGTCAAATTGTGTTCCAATCTAATTATATTTATTGTGTTAATTTCTCGTGTTTATAGATCATCAGGTTACCAACTCCTCAGCGATTCAATTTACACATTTACCTCATACAATTTTTGTTGTTGCTTCCCACATATTAGTTCACAACACATCCCTGCCGCACCTCCAGAGGGCGCTATCAACATCTGTTCTCTAAAGGTCGGAAGTTGCTTTCTCATCATTGACTCAAAAATGGCACTTGCTAGTGTGTTAAGTAGCGATTTTGGGGTATTTTCTTATGAAAAATGCCACTCAATTGACTTCAATGGTGGTCTTGGACCTAGTGAGGCCGTCTGTGAGTCTGCTCCGGGAGAAGATCTCAGTTTCAGGGTCCGAAATCCTTTGTTTGCTGGAGGCGAGGATGATGTCGAGAGGAAAATTCACTTTCTTCATGGGACCACCACTTTAGCATTCAAGGCACGTAGTACATGAATGTGCATACGTAAGAGTCTACAGCTTTTAGTCTAACCTTTAGTCTGCCATATCAAATTTATTTTATTTTGGCCAACGTGTACAAACTGTTATGCCTCGCCAGTCACGTTAGCATGCTAATGTGGCTATAAAGTGCGCTCTCATTCTGTTACGTCTTGTGTAGAACTTGTTATTTTAGCATGCATTTTGATTTTGTTTCAAATTTTATTATTGTTCTAATTATGTTTTGATTTTATAATTGGTTAGTGATCGAGAAAGTATTACATTTATATGTCCATCTGTTGAATAATTTGTAAGACAATTTAATCAATACGCATCTTCACCTCTATTCGTGTATATAATGTATATTATTTGTACATTATGTGTATTACTTTGGTGGGTTTTGCTATTCTAAAATCTTTATCTTGTTTCTTCAGTTCCAGCATGGTGTTATTGTGGCAGTGGACTCTAGAGCGACAGCAGGCGCCTACATTGCCTCTCAAACAGTGAAGAAAGTTATCGAGATCAATCCATATTTACTGGGCACAATGGCTGGAGGAGCTGCAGACTGTAGCTTTTGGGAACGTCTCTTGGCCCGCCAGTGCCGCATCTATGAGCTTCGAAACAAAGAGCGCATCTCTGTGGCCGCAGCTTCCAAACTACTGGCCAACATGGTGTACCAGTACAAAGGCATGGGACTCAGCATGGGGACAATGGTGTGTGGCTGGGATAAGCGAGGACCAGGTAAATATCTCATTTCAATTAATATGTAAATTATTGGCGAGTGGGGTTATAACAATTCACTAATCTCACAATTTGGGTCGCTTCACAATGAATGTCCTTTTCTAGTCATTTTGATGTCTGAATTTCAAGTTTTTGTATTAATTACAATCTTTTACATTAAAATTGCAAAGTATTAAATAAAGGACTTGAATGTGTGTATACACATGCACACACATTCAAGTCCTTTATTTAATGCTTTGCAATTTTAATGTAACAGATTGTAATTAATACAAAAACTTGAAATTCAGACATCAAAATGACTAGAAAAGGATATATATATATATATATATATATATATATATATAATTTTATTTATTTTAAAAAAAATATTGTGCCTATCAAATAAATTCGCTTGTGAATCACTGCAGCTGTGTCAAGACCGCAGTGGATCTGCGCACACAGGCCCCATTCAGAAACTAGAAAGCTCTGCCCCCACTGTGGCGAGGATGCATACTGTCCGTGAGTGCGGGTCTCAGGCGCTGTTTGTGTTCGCTGCTGTGTGCGTGAAGCTCCACATACCCACACACACTCCTGAACAGAAGATTCCTGCTTTCATCCATCTCTTTTCTCTTTGCTCAAAGTACTTGCATCACTTTGCTGAAATAGTGGTGTTGGCGCTTATCTCCCAACAACTTATCTTCCAACAACTGTTAGTCAGACTAGCGTCCTTTCAGTTAAGCACTAAGAGGCCCATTTCTGAGTAAAGTTGGTTTTGTGGCAATAAGACCATTATCTTTGGATTGTTATACTATTATGAACAACTTCACTTAACTTAGTCTAGATTATTAATATCAATATAATCTAATATGATATTGTTGGATATTTCAAGCTTTCAAAGGTAAGGATGAATGTAAGAAGTCACTAGGGGTGGGCGATATGGACAAAAATGTATCTTTTTTTTCCCCAACTCCGATAACGATATTGTCACTATCTTTTTTTAATCTATTTTTACACACAATGATCTGCAATGTTTTGCTACCAAGCCATCTATGGATGGAGATCGTGAGATCAAAATAGAATCTTTCGTTTTGTAAAGTGCTTCACACATCTTTGCAAAACATGCGTTCACATATATTAACATAAAAAATCAAATTCAAGTAACACTGAAAGAACACATAAAATAAGGCTAGCTCAATATTTACTTAAATGTACAAATAAAGCAGTGATTGGCTTTAGAGCTGCAACTAACGATTATTTTAATAATCGATTAATCTGTCGATTATTTCTTCGATTAATCGGATATAAAGACTTTCTGTAAATTACAGAATTATTAAGGATGGCCAAAAGTTTTATGTAGGGAATAAGGGTACCCATCTAATTAGCATATTCTGAAGTCATATGGCGTTGGAAATTGTGATTTTAGAATTTTCATAAAATGTGTCTCCCCCGCTCGTCTCCCCCGCTCTCTCTCTCTCTCGTCTCCCCTTTTTAGGCACACATTAGATGAACGGGCCTCTTTCCTTCTCTAATTGTAATATGTATTGAAAAATAAAGACTATAATACGAAAGAGCATAATCTTCAAATTGACTTTCCACCCCTAGAAGTCACCATTTCTTAGTGCATTTTATAAAATGGTTCCATGCTCAAAGGGGGTGCTTTGCTTGCATACATTTATGTAGCCAAGAAAAATAAATCAAATTTTGACCCTAAGATTTTGAGAATTGTTACACTTGTTACACAATTCATATGCGTTTCTTTAAATCGGCCAACAGATGGCTCTATTTCATATTGATTGATTATTAGCCTACACAGGTAGTTTGCAGGTAAACACTGCTATCACTTTGCTGCGCTGTTGGCTTTAAAAAACGCTTTAACAAAACCAATAAGTTGTCACTTTTTACTGGATGTTTGGGCACTGATGTTTGGGACTGTTTTCTGTCTAATTTATCTGGCTCCTGATTGGCTCTTGGTGGCTTGGAATTTGCTACCTCCAAATTTGCATAAATTATGGCTGTTGACAGCCTGTTTGAGCTCGCTCTCAATGGCTTCTTCCACAATAAGGCAGACACTATTGATGACTATTAAACTAGTCGACTCCTTCTATGGTATCTATTATCTTGTTCACACTGCATGTGAGGACCATGGAACTGTGATGACTCACTAATTGCTATGCTCTGTTGGATATAGCTCTTCTGAATCTGCAATAATTCAACATCCACACAGGTAAAAAACTGCACCCCGCATTCAGAATCAGATTCTGATTCATTTATTTGCCATTTGCAGTAAAACCACATAGGAAAAACTGCAAGACTACCCCGGTGTGCACCTGGGAATGTACCCCAGACATAAAGAAATCAGAGCACTGTGGCACCTTTGCCGGCAGCACCTCATGTCCGGCATGTGATATGAGCCTCTTGTTACATTTAATCGTCCGTAAAGACTGCTCCGCTGTCGCACCATATTTATTATTAGCCAGAGTTCAGTCATCTGGGTGACGGTCTGAATTTCACTTCACAGCAGTATTTCTGTAATTAACTGGTACATAAACCAGTAGTAGGTAGTACTCTTGTGTTGTGTACAATAATACAGTCTTCCAAGAAACGTGGTTTCCAAGAAATAAAGGAAATAAGAGAACGTTTTCTTTCTTTCTTGGAAACCACATACTGAAAAGAAGTAGGGCTGGGCACAGGGGAAATGTGTTTTTCCCCCTGAAAAAACGTTTCCTTCTAGCATTTTCCTTTTGGGCCTCCATAGCTTCAATGGGGTTCAGCAGTCGTGCAAACCGGAGTGTAAACTAGTGACTTTAAAACAAAATTTTTTTTAGACCCACCTAGTGACAGTTTTGCCTTACACAACGTACGGCAATAAAACGGCCATACGGCAGACATCTTGTCCGCTTACCGCTAGCTTTCTTGCTGCCGACTTTGGGAGATCACCCTGTCAACACATGCTGCACAGCTGTCTGCTGTCTTGACGCTAATGTGAATTAAATGTGTGGGTATTGTTTGCCGGAATGGGGTCCTATGATCGTAAGAGTATGAGTATAAGCCTATGGTATCGACCCAATACCGTATTTGTGTGTCCCTAGTGTAAACGGGTACAATAGATCTGAGTATGTATACAACAGCATGTTCTATTCACATATTTGGACATAATTAGCAATGTCCGCCTCTGCAATACTTTTATGATCATGCTTGAGATGACGGGTATGCTTTAGCTTGATTTTCCTCGTTAGCTTTCTGCTAACATGAAGGATTCAAGAAATACACCAAAACTCTCTGATGAATAAAGTTTCTTCACCTACTGCTGCAGTCGCCTGAAATTTGGATAAAACTACTACACTTGTGTAGAGTTTTAGCAATGTGTGGGGATGGGAAAAGCAGAGGCAGTGATGTCAAATGAATGCTGCGACGTGGGTGTCTGCTCAGGTTCCATTCCAACAACACAGTAGATTCACTAACTAGCTCCCTGGTAACTACAATACAGCCTGTTGGTTCCAGCCAAATTTTTTTTACAGATAAAACATAAAATTTGTGAAGTTTTAAATTCATATGTTCTGGTCATTACTCGCCAGATAGCAACAGACGCAAAATTCAGCTCATTTAAAAATAATTATTTTTTAATAACTGCCCGGTCATATTGACCCAAGGATATGGCGCAAGGGTTAAACCGGTAATGGGATACAGGACATTCCTAAATCATTCTTATTTATCACTATGGTTCTTTTCTAAAATGGTCTAAATTTAGACCAAATTTTATGGGCTCATTCACACTCGGAAGGCCTTATAGCTGACATGTATTTTTAATGTATAGCCACTACTAATAGCTTTTTTATTCTAATCACTTGAGTGCCTGAACCTCCTTTTTTCAATAATTTTTCCAAGTGAGATTGTGAACAAGTTTCTTGATGTGAAAAGTTTGTGAACCACTTCCCTATGGTATTATCACATTTTGACCACTAGATGGTGACGTTATCCTTTTCAGTCTCACGTGGCTTTCCACAGTGAATCTTGGACACCGTCTTGTGCTAAGGCCATACATCAGGGAAGGTGTGCTTAAAGAGGCCGCCATAGTGACACAGTAATGGAAAATCGATGAGGCTGGGACTGTGGGCCAGCAAACACACGGCAGAATGATAGACGTTGGATCCCAATGCTGGACAACAGGGTCGCATGCATAATATGTATGTACCTGCAGCAATTGATCCTGGCTTTATTTGGAAAGTCAAGTGAACGCTTGACAGACTTCCTGTGTTCCCACAGTCCTGAATGACACGCGTTAACTCTGGACAATCGATGAGTGAAATAATTATCTAAGTTTAAGACCATTATAGGCGGGTGCTCAGTTTGGCAGTGATTGAATGAAGAGGTAAATGTCATGTAAATGTAATCAATTGCGATTAGGTGGGAAGCTCATTAGCTGGCTACAATCATGTCAAGAGCACTTACTCCTCTGATGGAGTGTCTTAAGCTGCATGCAAAGTAAATTGAATAAAAGCCTTGACAAATATGCTTCTACACATAAATTATGTTCAATGTTGTGACACTCTAATCAGGATTGTAGTCTGTGTGACTAACCTATTGTGACTTTTGTTTGAAAGTCCTCTTGGTGGTTCCTACAAGGATGCGTGCAATTCATTATGTGATATGTCAGTGTTTAACCATCTTCTAGAGAGTGATGTACTAGTTCTGATGTGTTCATCAGCCACATCCTGTTTTTTTCAATGTAACTATAGAAATCAGTTTGTTTTTCGCCAGGCTCACTTTTTATGTTGACTGTATGTTTGCAAGTTGACTGCCGCTGATGCAATGCTGCCATACAGCAGCCTCTGGGTCATTGTGTATGAAAACTTTTAGGAAGTAATACTTCCTGATCAATTTGTCATCTAAGCTTAGGTAACCCGCAAATGCTTGTACCAGAATCCAGGTGTGTGGATTTTTTTTGCCACAAGTGTATAATCATTTATGCCCTACTCTCTAACTGCACTACTACATATAAGGCTTTACAGCCCTCTCCTTGCCTGTTACGCTTTAAATGAGTCCCTTAGTTTTCAAGAAGAACAAACAGGTCTTTGAATGGCAAATTACCCCCATGCATAGGCAGACACCAGATGATTATCATCGCAAGCAAACGACGGGCTGAGGAAGCTGCAATTTGGCAGTTGGAAGCGTTGGTAATCTGCTTTTTCAGAATAGCAAGTGGCTTTCTATTGCTAATAGACTGTTACCGCTTTAGCAGAAGAGTGTGCAATTTAAGGGCACATTGAAGTGGCTTTTTAATGCGGATAATGGTGAACAGTAAAGCGGCATACTTTAAACTGATTTTTCCATCTTTCTTTGTTAAGTTAGATGATTTGCTATTGAGAGCTTACCCTCATTGTGAATTCTTCCTGTCACATTTGGCTGTGAAACAAGTGTCAACAAATGTGATTGCATTAGCAATGTAAAACGATCAATGGGATACTTAATCAATACTACAAATAGCATTTAAAACATGAAAAAACTTCAGCCAGTCCAAATGTGCTTTGTCTTGGAGCAGCCCTTGGAAAATTGCCACAGGAAATTCCAGTTATGGAATTTTCACAGGAATTTTACAACTCTATATGAAAAATATAGTACAAATTGGGAACTGATCAATACTTGCAGAAAAAGTTATTCTGGAGCCTCTGTCCAGTGTATATTAACAGTGAGTTAATATTAGGGGTGGGAACCTCAGATCACGGGAGAAAGTATCACAATATATCAATATATCGTCACATTCCTAGTAAATATACAGATGAGTGTCATTGCATCTGTGTGAAAGTATAGTAAAACTGTTTGCCCAATGTGAACACGCTTTTTCACTTTTGTTTCCCCTTTTTTGAGGCTAGAAGTATACTTACCTGCTGTGCTGGTTGCTGGTCGATAGTTAATTTTTAGCGTGTTTGCAGGGATCAATAAGGCTGTGAGCAGGGCTCCTGGGCTGTTTGGATCTGGCTCATGCCGCGTCAGCAGGTACATGGTTGCAGTCATTTACTTGAGGATACAGCTGTTCATATCTGCCAGCCTTACTTCATTTGGAGAGGTTGCAGCTGTTCATTTTTCCTCTGGAGGAGGTTGAGTGTGTGCTTGTTGTACTCCTGTGAATTTTATTGACAAACCTGATTGGAAACTACTTCAAAGACCATTTTGTCCCATGCACTGATGACCTGTTTTCTCTTTCCTTAGGACTGTACTATGTGGACTCGGAGGGAAACCGGGTGTGTGGTGACCTGTTTGCAGTGGGCTCGGGCTCCATGTATGCCTATGGTGTGGTGGACAGCGGCCTACGGCAAGATCTGACTGTGGAGGAGGCCTGTGATCTGGGGCGCCGTGCCATATACCAAGCAACATACCGTGATGCCTACAGCGGAGGCCAGGTCAACCTCTACCATGTACACAGTGAGGGCTGGACCAGAGTCTCCCAGGATGATGTCCTAAAGCTGCACCAGCAGTACAAGGACCAGGCTTAGATCACAAAGGGCAATGGGTCAAATTAGTTTTTATGGGGATTTGTTCACAACAATATACTTTTTTTTTTCTGTAATGTCAAAACCTAAATGAATAAATACAAATTGTGACCGTTGTTTTCAACGTTTATTATTTAATTAATCCTATCAAGCAGCCAGAAAGGGAAAGTGAAGATGCTGAAACATGTTTGTTCTAGGACTTTAAAATCAAAGGTTTTCAATAACAACTTTAAAAAGTGGCTCTGGTTGTGTTTTTTTAATGTAATGGGTTTTATCTGGATGTGAATTCTACAGTTATACTTAATTAGGGTTTTAGCATTGAAAATATGGCTAAACATCCAAGCACAACTTAATTATTTTGTTGTATTGCATTTATTACTGCGTAGTTGTTTCAAATGGCACTATGTAATTGTGTATATACCTCTAGTTGTTGTAATTGTGCCTCCTGACTTGTTCAGTGTTTTTACTTATTCATTGATAATGTTTCCCATTTCCACTCATGCTGCACAAATGCTGCTTTAATTGGAAGAAGAAAATTTATTTCCCAATTCCTTGCCGACTGAACAAGCTTTTCTATGCGCATTGTAGTGTGGAGCCCTGCCACTGTGGTTTACAATGTAACGACCTGCTCAGGCGGTGTGCCCCTGCAGCAGTTTTTATGGTTGGGAACAAACACTAATAAAGTGGGCATGTAAAGAAATGGCACTTCAAAACATGGTTAAAAACTAGTGTCTCACTCGACTGATTAGTATTCATTGAAATACTATCTCTAATGAGCAAGCTTCATCTGCAGCAACTTTAAGAGAATTAAGGCAAGGCAAGGCAAGGCAAGGCAAGGCAAGTTTATTTGTATAGCACAATTCATACACAAGGCAACTCAAAGTGCTGAACAAGATAGCATTAAAATCATAAATAATTACAGAACATTAAAACGAAAGATAAAAATATAAAATCCCTCAGTTGTATGCACAGCTAAACAGCACCGTTTTTAACCTGGTTTTAAACATTGTCAGAGAGGAGGCCTGTCTCACATCTTCAGGAAGATTGTTCCAGATTTTAGCAGCATGAATCTGAAAAGCAGCCTCCCCATGTTTAGTTCTGACTCTGGGCACTAACAGGAGTCCAGTCCCTGTGCTCCTCAGAGTCCGGGCTGGTTCATATGGGACTAACATGTCACTAATATATTTTGGTGCGAGGCCATGGAGAGATTTGTACACAAGCAGAGCTGTTTTAAAGTCTATTCTCTGAGCCACAGGAAGCCAGTGCAGGGACCTGAGGACCGGACTAATGTGGTCGTACTTCCTGGTTCTAGTCAGGACTCGAGCTGCTGCATTTTGAATGTACTGCAGCTGTTTTACAGCCTGTTTGGACAGACCTGTGAGCAGGCCATTGCAGTAGTCTAACCTACTGGAGACAAATGCATGGATAAGAATCTCCAAGTCTGCTTTAGACACTATGTTTTTGATCCTGGCAATGTTTTTTAGATGGTAAAAAGCTGCTGATGTTACTGATTTGATGTGGCTATTAAAATTTAAGTCTGAGTCCAGTATTACCCCTAGATTTCTGACCTTGTTAGAAGGTTTTAGGGAGAGAGACTGTAGGTGACAGATGACGCTCTCTCTTTGTTTCTGGGGACCAAAGACAATCATTTCAGTTTTGTCTGCGTTTAGCTGAAGGAAGTTGTTTTGCATCCACTCACTGATCTGTTGGATACAGTGAAGGAGTGAGTCCACTGGTCCATGTTCTCCTGCAGTCAGTGAGACATAGATCTGAGTGTCGTCTGCATAGTTATGATAGGAAACTTTGTTTCTGCGTATTAACTGACCTAACGGCAGCATGTAGAGATTGAACAGAAGAGGTCCCAGGATCGACCCCTGTGGTACTCCACAGGTCAGGGCCATATGATCTGAGACACAGTTTCCAATCTCCACAAAGTACTTCCTGTCTTCAAGGTAAGACCTAAACCAACTTAGGGCGGTGCCAGCGACGCCAACCCAGTCCTCTAGTCTCTGTAAGAGGATCTCATGGTCGACAGTATCAAAGGCAGCACTTAGATCTAACAGGATTAGGATTGAGACTTTGCCTGCGTCAGTGTTCAGCCGGATATCGTTTGTAACCTTAACGAGAGCAGTCTCAGTGCTGTGGTGGGGTCTAAAGCCGGACTGAAACATATCAAATGAGTTGTTGATTATAAGAAATCTAGTAAGCTGTAGGTAGACAACTTTCTCAAGGACTTTCCCCATAAATGGCAGATTTGAGATGGGACGATAGTTGTTAAGTACCGTAGCATCCAGACTGCTCTTTTTTAGCAGGGGCCTGATGACTGCAGTTTTCAGGGCCTTTGGGAATATTCCAGAATCAAGGGACATGTTTACTATCTGTGTGAGTGAAGGTAACAGACTGCTCAGAACAGACTTTAGAAATCTAGTGGGTAGTACATCCAGGCTGCATGTGGAGGAGCTCAAACTGGAGATTATCTCTTGGACAGTTTGATCATTTACAGGTGCAAAGTAAGTTAGCTCAAAGAGCCTTTCTGGCTGTTGGATTGTTATCTGTGGATTGGAGACAATGGCGTTTTTGATGCCTTGAACCTTGTCATTGAAAAAATGTGCAAACTCATTACATTTACGTTTGGAAGTTAGCTCTAATGGCATTTGAACAGGGGGGTTTGTTAATCTATTAACTGTTGAAAACAGAACACGCAGATTGTTGCTGCAGCCTTCAATCATTTCAGAAAAATACCTTTCTCTTGTACTACGTAGCACCTGGTTAAACTCGCACAACTTATCTTTGAAGATCTTGTAATCAACCTGGAGGTTGGACTTGCGCCACTTCCGCTCGGCCCTCCGGCACTCTCTCTTTTGTGCTCTGACCGAGTCTGCTTTAGCCCACGGCGCCTTCTGCTTTATTTTTCACTATTTTAACCTTCACAGGAGCGATGGTGTCCAGAACTTTCAAAACACTAGAGGTGACAGAGTTAAACAGTTCATCTACAGTAGAATACGATGCATTCTCAAAGTTTATCATTCCCATAAATAGTTCACCCGTATTTTCATTTATGTGTCTTCTTCGTACAGTTGCAGAGTCCACTGGTGGTTTGTTAGTGAAACACATGTCAAAAAATATACAAAAATGATCCGAAAGCGCAACATCGACCACGTTTACATTATATATGTTCGCCCCCTTTGTAACTAACAGGTCTAAGTCAAACCGAGCCGCGCATTCTCCACCAAATCTGTTAGGATTTAGGCAGACAGAGACGGATCGTGGTGTGCCAAACTCTGGAAGTTTATTTAAGTTTCTCTCAAGTTCCACTGGTTTCCTCTGTTTCTTCCTCTCAGTCAGAATAAAGGCAGTACACAGTTTATATAGTCATTGTCACGTCACACATCGAAAGACATACGTGTCACAAAGAGACAGTCAAATCATAGTCATAACATGGAGTCCTTGTAGAGTCCTTGTACAGTCCTGCACGTAGGCCATATTGCTATCTAATACTAACAATATGTTTCTGATTTGTTCACAAAAGTATACTTTAAAATTCTTTATTTTAGGACAAATACAATCTATTATTGAAAAGTTAACTGTCCCAGCTTGAATGTGTATTTTAAACAATTTCGGTTCCATTTCCAAACCAGTAAAAGTGAAAGAATCTTAATGTTTGTCTGTCGTACATGTCTCTCTGTGTTTTACAGACGTACAAACTATACCTCATATGAAATGTTGCTGCAGTTGCCATTTCGGTTCAAATCAGCGTGTTGTTCACTCCTGCAAAGTCACGTCAATAAAACAAACCATTGGATTTCACATGATCTTCCCCTTTGGCATTTCAGCGTCACCATACTGACAAATGAGAGCAGAAATACTGCTCTCCCTTATTGGTTTAAAGTGTCACTCACAGCTTCAGGCCTTTTGACAGAGTAGCCAGCACCAGCACAAGTGCAATCTCAAGACAAACTACTTCTGCCAAGCCTGAAGCCTCAGTTCCCCTTTTCTCTTCTTCTTCTTCTTCTTCTCACCGCGCCATCCATCTTTCCACGTTTCCAATTTGAATTATCTCTTGTCAGACGAGCCTCCACACCCATCCGGCCCTATCCTGCAATGAAACACTTGCACAATAGAAGTAATAATTAAGCACACTTCTATCCACGTGCTAGAACGCGGCTTCCTTCCTCTGCAGTTGTGAATTCCACTAATGGCAGGACAGCTGGCCAAAACGGACGATCGCCCACTGATAGATGGTCTCCTGTCCCAAATGTGAAAGCCAAGGGGGCCAAGAGGGACTCCAGAAGTGATTGACAGGCTGGTCTTGGCACAAGGATTATATTTGTAAGAGAGAGAGAGAAAGAGAGAGAAATAATTGATGAGTTCCTCCACTGGTGCCGAGACGAATGCCAAAAGTGAGTAATGACCTCGTGGAAGTTCGGCTTCTATGATCACAAACAATAGCCGGAGTTGTCACGGCTTTGGAAGTGACACAATGGATGGGGATCGGAGAGTAAGGAGTTTAACGAGTTTAATCATGTGAAATGGCAGTATAATTAAATAAGAGGAGTGTGCTATGAACATTATTACAGCAGTCCGTGATAATAATCACTTTGTTGTTTACTTTCCTGCTTGTCTTTGCCCTTTTGATATTCCGTGTGACAGTTTGAGTACCTGAAAGACCAGCGGTTGGCTTCTTTTGCTCTGTTTTCATGTTAGGATCAAAGTGAAAAGAAAGAAATGATTAGTTTTGTGACAAAAACCCTGTTTTAAGAACACTCTTGTTGATTAGGTGTTTATGCTGACTATTTTGTTTAGCTTTTTCTAAATTCTGTAACACATTCAATTATGGAAAGTTTCTGGTAATGATCGTTCTTCATATCCTTGGTGTCAAGTTGTTTTAAAACAAGAAGATCTATCTATCTACCTGATTTTGGTGTATTTTATCAGGAAATTTTGAATTGAGCATGGATATTAGCACATTTATTTAGGTAGTTTCACAAGCACAAATATTTTTC